GACACACACACACACACACACACACACACACACACACACACACACACATTTCTAAAAGTTAGAAGTATTACAAAAATGTAATCATGAAGTATTTCACTCTGTGTGTAGTGAACCAATATGCAGTGGACCCCTGCATAATTACGGTTCGGTACCTTTGGATTTACCTATTCACAGATGTTTTTTCCCCAATATTTAAAAAAAAAAAAAAAAAAGAACAACAACCATATTTTACATATTTTTTATCTTTATATTTTTATTTTTCGGCGGTTGGTAACCCCCGTTTTTCGGGGGAAAAGTTTATTAGTGGCTTATCCCTGTTTTCTTTTTTTTTCAGAATTTAATTTTTTTCCTTCAATGCATTTATAACGTGTGTCAATTCTATTCTATTTTTATATTATTTTCGCTATTCGTAGGCTGACGCGATCCCTATCCCACAGTGTAATTCAGTTTACTGTTTCAGTTTCACCTTTTGAATTAAACTACTCAAATAATACATTTTGCACAATAGTCTACCTGATTAAGGTGCATCTGTAGGTTATCTGGGGATTTCTTGCAACTGTATAATCTATGATATTGACCTTAACTTAAATTAACAGATAGTTAATATAGATTTAAAAAATATATATTTGACCTTCAAAGCCAAATTACGGGTATGTACCTTTTGGTTAAGACCTCACACTTATCGGCCTTTAAATAGAAATGAAATCAAATCGACTCGCATATGTTTTAATGAGTCCACTGTCTTAGTTAACAAACATTAAGCCTCAGCAGCCGGACATACTAGGAGAATCGAAATGACATCTTGTTCCTTAAGACATTATGTCGAACATCACTCTTTTGAGATAATAATTCTCACATCTGTTGACAAAAGGAAGGATTTATGTTATATTCTAATTCTGTCTCTGATCTCAATGTGTCAGATTTCCACTTTTTTTTTTGCCCTTTCAGAACAGCCGCCAGAGAGAATTGGATCACCGTCAGGCTTGGTGACATCAGAGGTCACTGCCAAGAACTTCCGAGTTACATGGCGCCACTCCCCTGGAAATGTAGAGAAATACAGAGTGGTTTATTTCCCTGTTCATGGAGGACAACCACAGGAGGTGAACAACTTATATTTTGTTTTCAAAGCAAATTCTGTCATGAAATTTCTTCATCAGAAAAAAAACAGTTTCTGGTATTTATTCTGGAGGTACGGCCTGATCAATGATTTAATCAATCGTTTCTCAGTTTTCTGAATCTTAATTCTCCATCTCACTACAACATAGTGGACGAATCTTTACTTCTAACATTGTGGGAACAGTCCTCGGGTTTTCAACATCGCTTATCCTGAACAAGGTGTCGGGGTGGGGGTGGGGCTGGAGGCTATGCCTGCTGACTTTGGGCGAAAGGCTGACTACACATTGAACTGGTTGCCAGTCAGTCGCGGAGCGCATATAGAGACAAACATGCATTCACACCCACAGCCACACCGTCACTGAGTGGGAACCGATCCCACGTTGCCCGCACGCAAGTCAGGCGTGTCTACCACTACACCATCAGCGTCTGAAGATCCTGTACTGTTCTAGCATAACAGTGCCCTTGTGCCCATAGCAAGGTGCGAAAAGCCATTCTCGAATGAGTTTGATGTGGAAGGAATTGAGAGCCTTGACTTCAACTCTATCAAACAACTTTGAGATGAACAAAAACAGACAGTCCAAAATCTCAAAGAGAAGTCTTCTCAAATGGGTGGAAACTTCTAAAGGGTGGGATCAACTTGATGGTTTTCTTTTTTTACTCAGAACAAAAAATATACAAATTAAAAATGAAAAAAAAAACATAAATATAGCTTGCACTCATTAGTGACAGGAAGGAAAGTGCTCCGCATTTTTGAAAGTGAAGAAGGATGACGGATGGCACGGATGCACTGATCCTTTTATATTCCTCTCATCTTCCTCAAAGACACATAACTAAATTAGTACAAACAAAGGCACATTAGGAATAATACTCTGATGGCTTGGTTTGTCCAGCTCCTTTGGACCGAGAAACCGTTACATTCTATGCTTTGATTTACAAACCATCAGTTCCTAATTCTGCAAGTGAGAGGACATTCCCAGAATGACCTGAATTGAAGCACACCTTTCAAGTTGCCATTCAGTCCAACACGGCTAAAACAATTTCCAAGACCTGCATCCCAATGAAGAAATAGTTTCTTTACTGTTGTCTATTTTTTCCTCTTTCCTATTCATCTTCATATCACTCCGTTCTATTGTTCAATGTCCATTGCACATCTGCTCCTCAATCTCATCTTTTTCTCTTCGCACCCCTTCCACGCACCCCAGGCTGTTGTCGACGGCCGTGACACCTCCGTGGTGTTGCGGCATCTCAACTCACAGACCGAATACCAGCTGTCTGTGTTTGCTGTGAATGAAAACGAGGCGAGTGAACCACTAAGAGGATATGAAACAACCCGTAAGTGTTTATGCACACGTCTGCTTTTGAAGCGGCCGCATACAAACATATGACATCATAAGATTAGCCCTGCAAGAAATGATTCAACATCTCGCTGGCCAAACCAATCAAAACCGATTACCCCCCCTTTGATTTAAGAGAATAAAAGCACATGTAAACGATTCTCTTCAAAATAAGAAATGGTATCTCCGGACAAATTTATAGGCACAATCATTCTTTATCCTAAAAAAGGAAATTCAATTTACACTGTTGTTTTCTTTATACATTGACAAGCTTTTCTGGTTCTATCATGTCAAAGCACAAGGACACAGCCTGCGTGTGTGTCCAGGTTGTGTTACAGATGTGTCTTTTCTTTTCGTGTTTCTCTTTTGTTCAGTGTCTCAAACAAAAGAGTCTTTTTGCTATTCATACAGGACATATTATGCAGATCAGACACCCACTAATAAAGATTTGTCTATTTATTAGAGCCTTGCAAATTTTACATGATTACGTTTTCAGTGCTCCGCCATGCTGTTTTTGATGACACCCCTTTCATTTAGGTTTTTTTTTTTTTTGTGGGTCTTGAAAAGTGACTCATTATTCTATGAGTGCAAAAATAGTTGCAACTCAGTCCTATCAGCGGTTAGATTTTTGTTGACAGTATTCTGGTTCTGACTGTTTTTCACTGTGTGTGGTCGTGTGCATATGCAGTGGCTCTTCCCACAGTGACAGGCCTCCAGCTGTTCGACGTGACTCACAACAGCATAAAAGCAAGATGGGACAATGTGAAAGGAGCATCAGGCTACATGGTGCTTTATGCGCCGCTTACAGATGAAGGAGACTTAGCTGAACAGGAGGTAATGTTTTTTTCGTGCACCAATAATGATAACCTGAAACCTGATAACGTGATAAGCTCTCCACTGCAGTGACCGCTGTTCCTGAAAGGGTTCAAACAAACGTGAAGAAAATATACCTTTTCTTGTTTTTATTTCCATGCTAAATTTAATTTTTGACCACAAACTAAACGTTGTTTTGTTTGTTTTTGAAGTTTGTAAGTGTTTTTTTTTTTTTGTCTGCAGGTCAAAGTGTCAAATGCAGTGAACCAGCTGGAGCTCGATGGTCTGATCCCTCACACTGAGTATACAGTCACTGTTTATGCTATGTTTGGAGAAGAGGCTAGCGAACCCATTACAAACCAGGAAACTACTTGTAAGTGTTGCTTAGCCACATACTGTACATTTGGCTTGTATTGCATTCCGCAGCAGGCAATATCTTGCAAGTATTGCAGCACAAAAATGACATTTACCTTTTAATTGTAGCTGGCAGTCATGTAGAACTCTGCATCATTCTGAAAGTAAAGATATAGGTTACCTTCGACAAAACAGCCATCTATTCATCCATCTATTATCTGAACCGCTTATCCTCACGACGGTCGCAGGCGTTTCTGGAGCCCATCCTAGCTGTCTTCGGGCAGTAGGCGGTACATACCCTGAAATGATTACCAGCCAGTCATAGGGCATCACTGCAGTTCTGTTACACTCCAAATTACAACCATAAGAGAATTTGGGCTTTAGAACTGCGAGTCTACTTTGGTTTCCTCCCACATTCCAAAAACATGCATGGCAGGCTGATTGAACACTCAAAATTGTCCCTGGGTGTGAGTGTGAGCGTGGATGGTTGTTTGTCTATGTGTGCCCTGCGATTGGCTGGCAACCAGTTCAGGATGTCATAAACCGCCTGAAGCCGGCTGGGATAGGCTCCAGCACGCCTTCAACCCTCGTAATGATAAAGCAAATTAAGACAAAAAATGGAATTGGGGAGTCACGATTCAAGTCCCATTGCAGACAAAAATGTAAAAATGGCATGTTGTTGGAGAGATGCTTCTTTGCTACTCCCATGGTTGCCTTGAGTAAGCATCGTTCAACCCCCCTTTCATGGTCTCTCCTTGGGATTGGGTCCTATGTGTGTCACTGTATATTCAGCACAGTGTAAATTCTGAGGTATTATTATCAGTATATTGAAACAGATAAGGGCGGCCCGGGAGTCCAGTGGTTAGCGCATCGACCTCACAGTGCAGAGGTACCGGATTCAATTCCAGCTCCGGTGTCCCTGTGTGGAGTTTGCATGTTCTCCCCGGGCCTGCGTGGGTTTTCTCCGGGTACTCCGGTTTCCTCCCACATTCCAAAAACATGCATGGCAGGCTGGTTGAACGCTCTAAATTGTCCCTATGTGTGAGTGTGAGCGTGGATGGTTGTTCGTCTCTGTGTGCCCTGCGATTGGCTGGCAATCGGTTCAGGGGGTCCCACGCCTACTGCTCGAAGACGGCTGGGATAGGCTCCAGCACCCCCCGTGAACCTTGTGAGGATAAAGCGGTTCGGAAAATGGATAGATGGATTGATGGATGAAATAGATAAATGAAAATCTATCAATAAATGATTGCATTAAGCCTCACTTAATATGTCAACCAAAATCAACTTTATCTTTTTAAGGGTATATATTTGGAGCTCATTAGATTGTGCGGGTGTACTTGATCAGTAAGTGTATTGTGAGCACATTAGTAAAACTCCACTACGCGCTCGCTCGCTCTCTCTCTCTCTCTCTCTCTCTCTCTTTCTCTCTCTCTCTCTCTCTCTCTCTCTCTCTCTCTCTGCTCAGTACCACTCAGAGCGCCCAGTAACCTCCAGTTCTCTGACATCACGCACAACTCGGCACACATCAGCTGGGACCCCGCTGCCAGTGGAGTAACTGGTTATCGTATCATGTGGGTCAATACAGATGGGCGGGTCACTGAGGAGGTACGTGTGTCAAATATGTTTTTGTTTTGGACACTGTATCATTGCTGAGTGAGACCAAACATTATTTTTCTACACAATATTGTCAGTTCAATAACTGTACAAATAGTGTTCATTAACTTCAATTTAGGTTTCAATTATATTTATAAACAGCACATCCCTTCCTGTCCTCGACAAAATCACTCAAGCGGGAGTCATCGTTGAAGTTTCATCAAATTGTGTGTCTTTCAGGTGGAAGTTGGGCCTATAAACTCTTACGACCTCAGTGGACTGAGATCTTTGATGGAATACTCGGTGGTTCTCTTTGCTCTGTATGATGAAGGCCAATCAGAGCCGCTCACTGATGGATTCACAACTCGTAAGTCCCTTTTGTTGTACTGGGGAATGAAGCAAGATGTTTTAGCTTGATAATTTAATGAAATTATATCAAATCCCATGCTGGTTTCTGGATTTTTTTCCTTTTTTATGAATCAAGCATTTTGTTGGCGTTGTCCTCTGTGTTGGCCTGAACAATGCATACTGCAGGGCCTGATGCCCAATTCCAATTTATGGTTAAATCCGCTCTTTTTATATACTCGTTCACATTACAAAACCAAACGTGACTTCTAATGTAAACGCACCGCATCTGTGATGCGACACGCATTCGCACAAAACACGATGTGGAGTGGCGTGCAACCAAAATAAACGACATCAAGTTGGCATCGTGTTGACAGACATAAATATGGTGCTGCGTATATGGGCTCATCTTATCATCCCATATTGCCGGAGTAGCGAGGAGGGAGGAGGTCGAAATCTTTTGGGGGAAATGAAGCCGGGCTTTTCAGTCTCCTCATTTCATGGCGAGGTCTCCTAAAGATGATGCCACGTCACTGCCGCACCGTCTGCGTGGCTGAATTACTACTATCACCACACATGTCAACTTTATGCTTCATTTTTTCCAAGTGGGATTAAATTAAAGTGTAGTTTAAAGATTTTACTCAAAATAAATTCACAGACAGGTGTCAGTAGTCTCCCTTCCAAGCACACCACCACCCGCCCAGGTCAGATTTGAAAATCTGTTCACACTGTATGAAAAAAATCTGACGTGTCACAGATGTGCAAATCAGTGGGAAGGGAGTTGCACTGTGAACATAGCCATAGTTTTAGTGAACTCTCACTAAGCAGGGTTGATGAGCACAATGTGACTCAGTGGACATACAACATACACACAAGTATTCCACTGTTGTTGTTCTTACAGTTTTCACAGCTTCTATACCTTGACAAAATCTCTAAACAATTTTAGAGTATGTCTGTCGTGGTTTATGGATTTGATTGATTGAATGGTGACAGGAATATTTTTTTAAAAATGGCTATATTGGATATTCTGCTGTCCTTGCTGCATGCCAAGTAGATTAATGATTTAAATTATTACTGGTAAATGTGTCTTATTTATTGGGATCGAATTGTTATGTGCAAGGGTTAAGCAATGGAAACAGATATCACTACCAGTACCAATTTGCATGAAGTAAACAAATGCTCCGGTAACTTTGTCTTCTCAATTGATTGTTTTTCATTCCACAAAAAGAGCTCCACTGATGGCAATTTATTCTTAGTTTCCACGAAAGGGCGTATCGCTACCGTTCAAAGGTGAGCCATTTTTCTCACAGTGCCAAACAGTGTCGAATTTTATTGCCCCTACTGCTCCCCCTGCTACATTGGCAATATGCCCACCTCATTTACACCTCAGCATAATAGCCGCGGCCCATTAAAAGGTCATTTTCCTGTCCCTGACTATTCAATCATACTAACGGTTATTGATTGGTCAGAATATCCCTCTAAGCAACAAGCGTTTGGTGCTGAGTCAGTAGAAAAAAATAGACCTTTGGCAAGAAACCGTTGAACTCCTCAGTCGAGAACAAGGTGATGTTTTTTCCTTTGCATGTGATTTAATGAAGTGAAGGCCTCGCAGGTTTTTGAAGATGGAAGCTCTCCCTCAAATTATGTTTGCTACATAATTTATGTTTTTTTTAAACATCTATTCATCCATTTTATCTCTCGCTCATCATCATCAGGGTCCTGTGTCAACTAGAGTATATCCCAGCGGTCTTTGAGGGAGAGATAGGGAACACACTTATCAGTATATACACACGTTATTATTATTTATCTCATACACTGAAAAATAACAATACACCTATTATATGTTCTACTTTTATTGGGAAATTAATCACGTTGATGCAGGAAGTCAGTACTTATTTTACTTGCTGTCCTACTTACCTCCATTAATTTTACTTCTTCAGAACACCTACTCATACATACCACCATCCATCCAATTTCTAAACTGCTCATCCTCACGAGGGTTGCGTGTGTGCTGGACTCTATCCCAGCTGTCTTTTGGCAGTAGGCAGGGTACACCCTGAACTGGTTGCCAACCAATCGCATTACCAATTTTTTAATATATAATTTTAACCATTTTTAGGCTCTCCGTACTTGACAGAGAGAAGAAGAAAAGAAATATTATGGGCTCCAATTTAGTAGGTTGGTGCCCGTGCGCTCAGCGTAAAAACGGGCATAACTTAATTTTCATGCCACCGCAAGTCTAGTCTAGCATGTTGCACCTCTCTGGGCGTTCTGGTACATGGAGTTGCCTCACCCCCGACTCATTTGACAATTTTCTAACAGAAAGTAGTCTGCATTCGCCGGAGAGAGTCGCATCATCATTATTATGCTGGAGCAGTGGCCGAGTTCGGTGTATTTGTGAATTTAGTAGACGCAACTTTTACCTTGTTACTTCCATGCCCCCCGGCACACCATGCAATTTGGTGGCATAAAGTAGACAACACTCAACAAGGAGGTTTGTAGTGCAGATGGTGTAACTTGATTTTTGGTGTTTTTGATCAAGGTACAGGCAGACAAATTTGGCACTCCGCAAACGTGTGCCATGGATGTCATGGTATATCATTCATAAATATAACACCAGCATGGGACAAATCCTCTGAATCATTGTAGAAATCAATTCATCGAACGAATTATAATATTATTGTCATATTTTAATTTTTTTTGCACCCCATCACTATTTGGGGTGGGGGGGGATGAAGGGTTGTCACACACGTGCGCACGGTGATACATGTGCAAGGTGATCTCCAATTGCCCACGTCACGTGCACAGTCGACTACATCATCTACAAGGGAAGATGTTGCAGTTTACCTGCCAATATCATGTGCAGACTCCAGTGAGTCTATTTGTGTTTTCGCAATATTAAGCACGGTGTACTTGGGCAAATTGTGCCTCCCACCACGTTGATTTTTATGCATATGAGAGATGCTTCCCCGATTAGCCAGGAAAAGGTTCATTCCATCCCACAATGGCGCACAAACATGCCCTATTCGACCTGCGCACAGTCTAGTAAAATACCAAAAAAAAAGAAAACTCCACCCATGCGCACAATTAGACTGCGCTTTGCACTAGACTTGCTCTGGGAACAAAAATAGGGCCCTCGGTTTCAAATGGTCTTTGTAAAAAAGTACATTTGGGCTTCATCTTACAGCCCCAGTTCCAGGTCCCCTACATCTCCGTTCCAGTGATGTCAGTGCAGATGGCTTTCAGGTTAGCTGGGATCACTCAGCGGATGACATCACCGTCTATAGACTCTCCTGGGCACCACTCACAGGTGGCGACACAAAGGAGGTTGGTACAGTAACAGTAATTCTCACATGCTACATGGTTGTCACTGTATTGGAGCATTTGAGGTTGACTAAAACTGCTCCATATTAATTTGTACAGGACAATCTATAACAACTAAATAGGTTGAGGAGTGAGTCATTTTTATCAAAAGAGCAGCAACCGTCCAGGGACGAGATATTACACTTGGATATACAGTAATAAAAAGACTACTAATCATAAGAAGAACAAAAACTGCAATGTCATTTTCAGTTGACAGAAACTGGCAAAATGGCCACCACTTGAGATGGCTAAAAATGAATGGATTTTGCTGCTTAACTCATATTCCAGAAACACAACATTTATCTGAATGCCGTGTTTAGCCTAGTGGAGGCGTATAAAACATATTACTGTCAAGAAAATTTTGGGGTTGACTTCCCCTTTAAATAATGCTCTGTCATTTCTTCTGTGCTTTTTATCCACTTAGGTTTGTTGTTTTAGTTTTTATTGCCCTCGCAAGACGAATTAGTGACCTTGGACTTGGAAGTCTGGTGTGTTTACAGAGAATAAATACTTCTGGCAGATTCCTGGTCTATTGCCACAAATGTATAACATCTTGACTCGTGGCGAGTCCCTACTCTCTTTAACTACTACTCTATGGGAAGTATGGATAAGATATTTTGAAATGTGGAAAACACATACCCAGTGAGATGTTTTTGAGTTGGTAAAACTCATTTTGGGGTTCTTATGTAAGTCTAGACTTGAATTTTTAGTGAGAAATCAATATTAAAAAAATGTGTTTCCTGTTTAGGTGGTCCTTGGTGGAAGCGATAATCGATACAGTTTGACAGACCTGAGTCCTTCCACTGCGTACGAAGTTATGGTGATGGCAGTCTTCAAAGACCAGTCAGAGAGCGATGCTGTGTCTGTCACAGAGACCACATGTAAGTCGTATTTCAGGACCACCAGAAATTCCTGTTATTGACGAAAGAACTTGACCTTGAATCATCGAATCAATACAATAGAATTTCTCAAATTGCTTACCCTCACGCCACACTTTGCTCTTAGGGCAGCACAGTGCCAATCAGCATAAACGGATGTTTCATCATAGAAAAAAAATGTGCGTTTCTGTAGTCAGAGTCTAACCCCAAACGTAACTAATTGCAATGACTTGTTTGTCCTTGTTTATCTCAGAGGAGGAAAATCTATTTTCCCCATCAATGATTTGTATGTATCTATCTAATTACCTGAGCTATTGATATAGGGAGTTGCTGAGTTTTCGCTCTAATTATATAATTGATGCTCTTTGTATTTCCCCAGTGGCCAAGACAACAACGATTGCCACCGCAACCTCTGGTAAGAAGAGTGCAAATGACTGCAGAAAGAGTCAAAATGTCCATGATGAAATGTTGCAAAACATCATGCTCAATACCAGCCCTGGTTTCACATCTGTCACTTTCCAAATATTCACACGTTCACTTGAGTCACTTCTTTTCCCCCCACATATTCATACAATGTACATTTATCATACTGTCCTGGCACCCAACAGCTATCATGCATATATGATATATTATGACAAAACAAGCCCAACAACAACAACAAAAATTCATCTGAGGGGCAATATTGCTAAAACATCAATTGTTTCTGTAAGCAGGAAGCATTTCATCTCAGTGAGAAATCTACAATCAAACCGTGCCTGCTTTTATTGAGCACCCATCTGAGGTTTAATTATTGTTCAAAGCAGAATTTATTTACAGCATCTTACGTCCTTCGATTGTTGAAAGATTCTCTCGCTGTATCTGGTCTTTCACAAATCGAGTGAGATCCAGTGGGAAATTTTGAAAAGTTTAGATCCCCATTCGCTGTCTGCGGTTATGTGATCAAATCAAATCCTCAACACAGTCAAGCAAGTGATGGTTGTGTTACTAAATTGGATTCACCCTGCAACTGTCGTTCCAACTAATTATTTCAGGGGTGACTCAGAGGCAATCTGGATTGTATTTGTGCATGTGGAACCGGCTGCAGCTGATTGAGTTGAAGACATTCCTGTAGTCAAAGCTTTAAAAATTTAAAACATACCTTAATATATTTAAAGGCTTGCTTGGAATTTTAAAAAGTGGGCAGCCCCAATGTCAAGGCTTTTATTTTACGGTCGCTGTATGGAAATAGCTTTCCTGATTTCAGCAATTCAAGTCTGCACAAGCTTGATTTGTGTGCGCAACTATTTTAAAGGTGGACCATGGGTAGAAAGCAACACGACAGGTGCTTTGCTGGTTTGTGGAACACTCTTCCATTAGAACTGTCATTTTATCAACCTGCCATTTTAAATCTGTCCAATCCCGCTGCTGACACCAGCCTACTTAAACCCACTGCCAGTACTCGGTGACATTTGGATGGCGAAATTTCACCGTTCATTACCTCATGTCTGTGCGACTGTTGCACAGCCCCCCGCCAAACGGTGAGAAACCTTCATCTGAGTGATGAGACCACGGAGAGTCTCAAGGCATCATGGGAGCTGGACGACCCCCGTGTGGAGAGGTTCAGGCTGTCCTACATCACCATCGGGGCCGGTCACAAAGAGGAGACGGTGAGTTTATTAAAGGGGAAGTCAGCTCAAATCATTTCTATACAGTGATGTCTTCTGTGCGCCCCCACGAGACTAAACGCAGTAGTCTGAGTAATATTGCATTGGTAGAATATGAATTAAGCAAAGTAAAATCCACCTGTTTTTATCCAGCCCAGGTGGCTGCCATTTTGTTTTGTACCATTTGCTGTTAACTGAAAATGACATCACAGTGCTTCACTCAGCTTGCAAAGGTCCCATTTCAAATTGATTTCAAATTTAGTTCTGGAGGCTGGCTTGATATTTATGTTTCCCAATTCTTATGATAAATCATTGACATGATTACTGTCTTCACAGAAGTAATTATCATAAATTGTGAATAAAATTGCATAATAATAAGTGGGGCCTAACTGATGTGGATATTTGTAGGCGGTGCCAATTCTGATATTTGGCAAAATAACATTTCAATAACCAATCAACTGGCTGCTTCATAAAAAAAATATTATGAATAAGATAACTTCTTTTTTTGTTCATTTAAGGCTTACATCAATGAAGACATGAATTACAGACAGAATATTTAACTCTTTACGAATACTTTGTCCTTTAATATTCATTTAACTTCACAATAGAGAGGAAAACTGCCTTAAAAAATTGTATTTCTTTGGTGGGGTGGAGGGATTTTGAAAATCTTTGTTTTATGTTGTCATTTGGTAAGGTGAAAAGAAAAAAAAATAAATGGCAATTTTTTGCAGATTTTTTGATATTTTCAATAAAATTGTCGGGCCATAATCATTACATTATTAAAGGTAATTTAAGTAACATTTTTATTTCAGAAGTATATCTGTGCCTTGGGCACTGTGATGTCATTTTCAATCAACAGCAATTATTGGCAGCACAAGACAAAATGGCAGCATCCTGAGATGGATAAAAACAGTTGGATTTTTCATCGAAAATCATATTTCACTCATTCATTATTTATCAGTTTGGACTTAGACAAGGTGGGGCACGTAAATCTTTTTGATTTGACTGCACCTTTGCTTTAAGGTGTGTCAGCTCTTTCCAAGTAGAACCCTACAATGTTGGTAAGTGCGCATTCATGCTCTCTAAATGCAGGTGGATTTTGGTTAAAAAAATAAATAAATAAAAAGATTAATTAAAAAGTTAACCCTTCTCTCATATTCTGTTCACATCGTATCGCTTTTCACACATGACGGATTCTTGTTCGAACAAGCTGGGGAGTTGTACAGAACAGACAACAAGGCTGCCTTTTCACAGACTGTGTAGTGGTTGGTTCTGGTAATAATTTACTCCCATCAGAAAACCGATTACACGTTCAGTGCCGGTCCACTCGGCCTCTCCAATCCCAGATCGCCGATGCACACATTCCATCTCAACCGGCGATTCACTTACCTCCCCCCCTCCATCTGTTCCTCCAATCCAACTTTGCCTCCTTCTTCTCTCATCACCACCTTTTACTTTCATCCCCGGAACCCTTTTTCTCCTTCTCGTTTTAATTTCCCGCTATGGCGTCAGAGCCGCGCAAGATGGAGAGGCCTGACCGAGCCAGAGGACATTCCATTATCTTTTCAGCAGCCATTTACTTGCGTGGCTTCTGAGATGGGTCACGGTGGAGAGACGAACAAAAGAAACAAGCAGGGGTGGCTGAGGAAACAGTTGCTAAAGAGAAGTGGGACAAGGGTTTGAACCTGACCGCTGCCTGGCGCATAATTGTTGTTGTTTTTTTTTCTCTTTTGTATATTTTGTCTTGATTGCCCGGCATGGATTCCCCCTCAGTTCCCCGTTCTCCATCAACCCGCTGTTGTCTTGCGACTGATTCACAGGGTAGTCTGCCTTTCAACCATAATCGGCTGTGATAAGCACCAGCTCTTGTTTTTACCCTCAAGTGAATATACAGCAGAAAATTGATGAAGGATTGGTTAGCCTGACAGCAGTAGCAAGTGTTTACCGCAAAATGGACCAACAGTTATTGACTGTGCGCTGATGTTTTCATCACGAGAATTTCTCCTGAACGGCACTTTTGACGTACTATGAACATTTTTTTTTTTTTAATTGAAAGCTTGAAGTTCTTTATCATGCATGTATTGCATTGCAGATGAATATAACAAAGAATGGACTGGAGAAAGCTGAGATGAGAAATCTGGCGGTTTGTGATGGGTGTTTTTATTTGGCATTTCATTTTGCTTGGAAGTGTGGCACTGTTAAACACCCCTCCCCTCAGCCCCCACCTCCTCCTCCGCATACACAGACCGTGCTAGCTCGGATGGTTCCCTGGTCAAAATAAATCTAAAGGATTTCATTGTATTGTCTGGAGCTCACTTTTTTTTTTTTTTTTTTTTTTGGTGTCTTCTAACCACGACTCATACGAGAACAGTGGTTCTTAACCTGGGTTCGATTGAACCCCAGGGGTTCGGTAAATCAGTCTAAGGGGTTCGACAGAGCCTCTGTCATGGAGGTTAAGACCACCGGACTCAACATGTCAATGACCGGTAGCTATGACCCACCCGCTTGGCCATCACTAGCTGGTTCATTTTGTGCACAATTAAACAAATTTATACTTCTACTAATTGTGTTGACTTTTTTTCTGTTTTTATTAAATACATTTGTAAAAAAATCTTTTTATTTTTCACTAATGAAGCGTTCGGTGAATGTGCATATGAACTGGTTGGGTTCAGAAACTCTAACAAGGTTAAGAACCACTGTACTAGAACCTTAGAGGTTTCTCCAAGATCCAGTTCAGATTGAGTTCTTTTCAAGTATTTGTTCATAGTCACTCTCAGAGCAAGCCGTAACTTACTCTGTTGTGGATGCACAGGTTAATTGTACCTTCTGCCATCCAACGGAAGAGAATGTGATTGTTCTGTCTGTCCCCAATACTTATTTGGCAAAGAGGTATTATTTGCAGGAAATCAATTTCTGAAACAATGAGCAAATCTGAATAATTCCCAACCGCCCACCTGATGATCTCTCACGACACAGGTTACAAGTCTTGTCCACTTGTCATCTTGACTGTTTTTACCGAGCCTGAGCCCTTTTTGATACGAACTCTCCTTACTTATGTGAGCTTGTGACCGTCACGAAGTTGGACCGGCAAGGTTCATTTCCAGTCCATCGTGGTGTTTGGAAAATGGCACATCAAATTTCTTCAGCTAATGTCAAGCTTGTCAAGCGATGGAACACTCCAGAACAGGAGACCATAAAGTTAACCTTGACAGGACTTTTTTTCTATTAATTGCCGCTCACAGTTTGAAAGGGTCATCATCACTCACGATCAGCCTTGATATTGACATCATCATATTCACGTCATCTCCACAAGGTCACCTTCATACGATATTTTTGGTTGGTTCTTTGGCATTGCTGTAACTTTAGGCAACCGATTTTATTTGGTAGGAACAAGCACATTCAAATGCTGAAAGAGAACCAACTTCAACACCGATACCCGACTTTAATTGCTCTGTCTCACTCTCGGCCTCATGTGACTTTATTGACTAAGCTGCAGTGAGCAGAATTGCTGAACAGTTGTGCTTGACATCCCTGAAGTTACGCATAGCATTCTGCAATCTGTCACCCAACGAGCCTTTCCCTTCCTCATAAAATTCTTTTATTTTATCCAGAGACTATACATACAGTGTGTGTGTTGTGTTTGAGCTTTGCATTCGTAATATATGTCACTTTTACCATCCCTTATTTGTGGAATGTGAACTCTGACTGCCACTTTACCGTGATCGTGTGAGCATCCATTTGTTGTTTTTTTGTGTGCCTGTGTATTCAGGTGTTAGTTCCTGGCCGTCAGAAAAGTATGTTGCTGGAATCCTTACTTCCTGACACTCAGTACAAAGTGACTGTCATGCCAGTGTACACCGATGGGGACGATGGCGTCAGTGTGTCCGCACAGGGGACGACATGTGAGTCACGCACCGATGCACATACCCACACACACACACACACACACACACACACACACACACACACACACACACACACACACACACACACACACACACACACATACTCACTTGCCCGCAGTCCAAATGAGGATGGTTCATAATTATAGTAGTTCTTTTAATTACGAGGCACTGCTAAATTCCTTATTGATTGCCGTATCCATTCTCAGGAGAAATATTGACTGTCCCCTCATTAAACAGGGAGAAGGCATGCTGGATAAGAAACGTCATCATCTTATATGAGTGCGCTATGGCAGGCCTTATTGCAAATAAAAATCTCTATACCGACAAGCACCAGTAATAAATCAGACCTCAGACACGCATGTACCAAGAGCATGACAAGATAATCTATTTTGTGCAGAGATAAAACTGTCTTTTCACATAAATTATTCAGGAAATAAACATATTAAACCAAGCTTGGAAACCAGAAAAACATTTTTAGCCATATCTTTTGCTATATTTGCAATTTAAAACATGTATACAGTGTTTCATTGAGCCATAACAACGAACCAGCTGTGCCTTATATTAATATTGTTGCCTCATAAATGAGCAACATAAATTATTGATTATGTGAACCCACACTCACTCAGCCAGAACCTCAATACATTTTTGTTGCTGGAAATTTAAACTAGTTCTAGATTTATGCAATATAGCAAACGCTGTTTCTTTTCTTTATGCTTTTCCGCTTTTTTTTTTTTTTTAATAATGATTGACATTGTACTTGTAGGGGAAACTCTGGTACTAAATGTTTTTATTTGTCGCACAACAAAAATATTCCAATTCTCAAGTGAATTATATTCTTACTGAGCTCATTGAAATTAAAATGTGGCTCTTCAGTTGTCATTAGCCTGTTTCAACTTTATTGCCAATACTGTCTCATGTATTCATTATTATTTCAAATGCAATTGTTTATTTGTTTTGGTCCAGTGCCTCTCTTGTCTCCTGAAAACCTTCGTGCATCAGAAGAGTGGTACAACCGCTTCAGGGTCACCTGGGATCCTCCACAGTCTACGACTGTGGGTTACAAGATCCTTTACCAGCCAGTCCATGGTAGGAACATGCAGCAAATATGCAAACCTAAAACGAACAAAAGGGTCCTTTGAGTCACATGCACCCTGAGAATACAGGATAATGAGAATAATATGTGTTTGCATGTGTGTTTATCATTCGCAGTACCAGGGAGAATTTTGGAGATGACCGTGAGTGATGACGTTAACTCGGTTCTCCTCCAGAATTTGCAGAGCGGCACAGCGTACAGCGTACAAGTGACCGCCTCCTACCCTTCAGGACAAAGTGAACCATTGCTAGTGAACGCTAAGACATGTGAGCTTGCGCCCAGATTGATTTAACGATGCTTTAGATCTGATCATGTTCACGTCTAAAACCAAAATTGCCCTTGGCAATATGGAGAACAACTGTGGGGGCTGCATGATATTGAAATGGAATCCATCTTGCAGTTAGTTTGATGGGCCAGAAGGTTAATGATGGCAGTGCGGTTAAAATGAGATCTTGAATTGAATTCCTAAGCTTTAATGGAACATTGCTGTCAGGTTAAGTCTTCCTTGCAGATTTGTGGCAAGGACAGCATCGTGTGACTGAGTGAGGACAGAGAGGAAGCAATAACAGCCAAGGTAGAAGTACAACATGCATATTAAAGGCTCGGATTTCCATCGAGACTCCCAGCGGAAACGGAGCGACCGAACAATATTTATATATCCGCGTCAGACGGCAAGAACGTTCATTCATTCTCCCAACTGCTTATCTTCTAAAACAATCTTTTAATATATTGATTTGGTTTCGGCGGCTGTACAAGGCTAACGTGACTTTATGCCTCAGCCATTTTAAACACGGCTTTAGAGGAAGGGGGGTTTACAGGGGAAAAAAAATGGTCGGGCATGGACCACTGAGTAAACTACATGCCAGGAAGACTACACTGCTCCATATTTGTTAACCAACAAAATTTGTCCTCGAAGGACAAGATGCAAAACCACACAAATTGTCTACTTGTCTCCCTCTACCCACAGAATACTTTTTCTCACCACAGTGAGGTATGAAAATTAAAACAAGCTTATTATTTTCTTCATTTACAGTCGCTGGTAATTGCTGATGAAAGCACTGAAAACTAATACAGTAGAAAAATAACCTCAACATAAATGAAGTCACCCAACAAAAATGAATTTTAATACCAAAGATAAGCTTTGCTTTTAATGCATGGATTTTTGTATGCGGTTGTGCTCCGATGATGTCTCACTGTGCGCCTGTTCCTTAATAAATCCCCGCTGATGATGAGCAATATTTTCTGCATGTCCTCCTGTTTCTTTGAAGTTCCCAATTTGAACATGCTCTCCAAGGTAACAACAGAAATACATGAACGGAGATTTACCCTCAAATAATGATAGTTTGCTGTTTTTATTTTCAATGCGTACAGGATTAAATGAAACCCACATTTGGTACCTCTGATACCAACTTCTTTTTATCAACTTTGTATTACTTGAAACCAATGTCATCTAACCCACTCTGCGGCGCCCTCGGAGGTATGTGAGAGACAGGTTACACCTTAGGCGGATTGCTAGTCAATCATCAGCATGGCTCGAAAAAAACACAAGCCATTAAAACAATGAATCATATGAAGCATAAATCCAAGATTTAAAAAAAAAAAAAACAACAACAAAATGTTCCCCTTGGGAGATTGAGAAAGAGGAAAAAAAAATCACACAGGGCCACATTGGACAAGTAGGGAGGTTGCTCCAACATGGTCAGGAACTGTCAGATGCTCAGGGCATTGTGAACATGATTGTTGTCATGTTGAGGCAGCCATGGGTTCTCATGCACAACTCTCGCCGATTCTTATGCACTGAATGAAGGATCTCTTTGTAGAAGTGCTGGTTGATCTTCGGCCTTGGCCTTCCACTGAAGGATCTGGCGTTGGTCATGCTCCCTAGAAAGATTGCTCTCATGGGTCTTATCATCACAAAATTATTGTTTGTGGTTCTGACACAAGCAGAGGATTTCTATAGAAAAGCATGTGGGTGGGGGGGGGGACGTTCAATTGCAAAGAATTGAAAGTGATGCATTAAATACATATTATCCATGACATGATTTAAAGTTGCTGCTTGTGGTGATTCACGGAAGCATCCCTCTCATGGTAGCAACCACGCACATCTTGCACCAATAACTCACACGTACGAGCAAGTGGAAAAACAATTTTTGGTGCCTTGGGTGCCACTTGGGGGGAATGAAAATGCCTCCTCATAATTAAGTTTTATGTTGTTTGCATTGAGATGCATCTGCTTAGTGTACAGTGGTTTTACCGACATGCATTCAGAGCACCTGCAATGTATCCTCCATCTCTATTTTGCTTCTGAGCAAGAGCTACTGAAATCTTCTCTTCGATACTTTTGACCTTATTTCCTTTTGCGTTTGTCTCACCTTTTGTACTCAGCCATGTCCTAGATTTCCGTTTTCTAGTCTATTTAATGCTGTATTTATATTCGCATCTATTCCCAACTGAGCGAGAGGGATTTTGTTTCGTTTTTATTTTACATAATTGATCTCAAAGGGCAAGGTCTTGTTCGACTCTGAGAAGAGTGAGTGACTAATTGTAAAACTTAGTGAAAAGGAATACACTCTTTTGACTATGGTTTATACATGAGATCACTCGCATGGCAAAGTTTTCTTGTTTTGTTTTTTCTTTTTGCTCAAATTCAAGTGTCTAAAATGCATGGCATCTGCCTCACAGATTATGCGTGTCTGTGTTTTTTTTTTCTTGCATATTAAAAGGAGCACCTGCCATATGCTTATAGCACTAAATATCAACTAGGTGGTATTGAAGCCAAGTTTATTTCCCTACTGTCAGCAAATTTTGTTAACAAGGGGGTAAGTTGCGACAGGAAATAAAAGTGAGGCGGGAAGGAGCTCCTTGGAGATTACCTTGCTTACACTGCTATTTAAATTGTTTATGATCTTTTGCATCATGCTGCGTCCTTCCTCATTTAGAGAAGATTCCATTTTATTTGTCATGAACGATAACTGAATTTATTTCTGCGATTGTAAATGGCCACCAATGTCCCCAACCGCATTTCCTGAAATTAAAACAAAACAAACAAAAAACCCCCCAGATGTGTAAAGGTTCAATTATAAGTTTTAACTTATCGACTGACTCATTGAGCTTATTCAAAGTTACCATCCTCCACTGTTGTGTCACTTCTTCTTTGTTTGCCTGCACCACTTGATTCGCGCTCTCTGTCTCTCTCTCTCAAAATTAAGGTGATCGACCATGATAAAAATTCACCCGTAAAAAGATTCTAAATAGATTTGTTTGACTTTAGTCACACATCAAATTAAAGGCGAATGGTTTTGCAGATAAAACGATGTTTCAGAATCATATGTGACAGCCCAATGTCCAATGCACATCGATTAGTCGCATAATCAATCAATATTGTGTCTGTCACGTTGTTCCCAGTGGTCCTGGGTGTCTCCAACTTGACAGTCTACCAGGTTCGGCACAACAGCATGTGCGTGCAATGGCAGCCTCATCTGCACGCCGACTATTACAGAATCTCCATCCAGTCCACACTCAGTAAGTAGGCCTGCACTCTAGGATACATTGCTTATACCAGTGTTGAACCGAGTCTTGTTTCGGTGTCAATCATGGGCAGGGGGGGCCTTTATTCATTTATGTATGTATGTATGTATGCATGTATTCAGTTATTTATTTATTGACAGCGTGAACACAATGTTTCCATATAATTGGCCAACAGATGGTTCGACGTTGCCGTTGAAGAGATTAACTGTGATGCTAAAGTATTAATTGTTTTTAATGTTTCTTTTATGTACTGTATTAAGTACGGTTTGGTTTAATCAGAGAGAAGTCAAGCAGATTCTTAAACAGATCCAGCTTATATGTAACATGAGTACAATTGGACTTTTTCATGGTCTAAGAAGGGACTAGAGTGTTCAAAAATGAAAACAACTCTTAATCCATATGGGTGTGTTTTCCGAGTTGCTCCAGTCTTGTTGCCAATCTAAATTCTCATTTAGGATCTCTGAATGGCCTTTCTGAAGTCTCATGAACATTGGGAATAGAGGAGCAAATGAATCAACACTGTGCTGACATTGTTTGTTTTGGTCACTTCATTTAAAAGTGGAATTCTCTACAAAATAAGTTTTGCGTGTGTGTGCGTGTGCGTGTGTATGTGTTAGTAGGATAGCATGGATTGTAATCATATAAGGTGTTTGGATCAAAGCTCTTGTTTTTATTTTGTCTACAGGGATGTCCGTGCTTCTTTTTTTGTATTATGATCGTTGAATGCAGTGTTTTTGACACAATAAGTTTCAATGAGTGAGTCCGGAAAAAGTTTCTCCAGCTTCACCTAAGCAGCTTACCCTGTGCGGCCTTTCATTTTTTGACCTCCAAGAAAACTCTCAAAAGACGATTGAATGGGATTGAAGTTTCTTTTCTTCTTCATCTTTATGGACCTGTTTTTGTTGTTTCATTGCAGACAGTCAGCGACAGGAAGTGAGTCTAGGAGGCGGGGTTTCTCGACATTGCTTCTACGACCTTTTTCCAAGCAGCCAATATGAGATCAGCATTCACGCGCAGATGCAGGGAATGGAAGGACCTCCCATCTCCGTCACTGACATGACACGTACGTTGCACACAAAAATTGCTCATAGTTGAAATGAAAGATAAAACCTCGGAGCTTCACAGTGCTTTACATTACACTGCTCAACAAATGTTACGACATTTTTTTCAATCGGAGATGCAAGTAAACTTGACGAGATTCATGTTTTTTGAGCTGATTTCAAATCTATCATAAATTGCATCATACATTACAACGCGTGGAAAAATCCGTATTGTGCAAGCATTCTTGATTTAAAAAAAAGCAATGAAAAATTAAAGTACTTTATCTCGAAAACCTGATGTGCTAGGAAAAAAAAACTGACGTTTAAAATCAGCGTCAAAAATATGTTTAGGGACACTTGAATCCATCTCTGATTAAAATTTGCTATCATTTTCTTTTTTTCTTGCTTTCATTTCCCTAAATTACATTTTTAAGTTTTTCCACCGGTCCCTTTGCCTCTCTGCAGCAGTCTCTTCGACCTTCATATATATATTTTTTTATATCCGAGTCTCAGTGAGGACTCTGGCTCTGTTGCAGTCCATTGGCCAGGTGATGAGCTCAGTTGAATCACACGGCTCGAGGGACCTCAAGGGCTCTGCGCACTGTCAGAGTTTTAAGATCGATAACACTCACACACTTGCACCCGAAAACACACAGATTCCCCACCCGCTGTTTTTCCACACCTATCCAGGGAGGTTTGGGCAGGCGGAAGTTACAACTGAAGAAAATGTATTCACCAATGTACTTGTGGGCAAACCATCAACAGCATAAAAGCCATCTTATGTTTGATTTAACGTGCTCTGAACATGTGGGAATTGTACGTATTGTCTATCCTGTGTAGCATTTCCTTTCAAATTTAGGACAGCACAGAAATTCCTGAGGCCAACACCAATTGCTGCGCAGTTGCTGCTGTGAAGTTGCTCTCGTAACCTTTCATTCCATGCTATTATTAATTCATGATATTCATCTCTGTGAAGACACTGATCAAGTTAATGACTTCTCACAATCATTATCAACATTGATTTCGCAAGCCGGGAAACAGATGAATATCACTATTCAACAATTTATTTCTAGAAGTGTTTTTCTGCAAATGTTTTTCAAATGATCACTTCTAGGAAATCACAATGCCCCTTCATTAGGGGGTTATTTTTAGAACAGACGGCTGGGCTACTCATGCCGTTCTTTGACGCCTGCCTTGAGAAGTTGCAAAATTGCTTGCGGAATAGAAGAAATGTTGCAAAAATGTTCACACAAGTGGAAAAGATCCATTCTCCCCCCCATCAACTCACATTGTCCTTGCTACTCACGGGTGCTGCATGATTTTTTATGATTTGGTATTGGAAGATGCAAAACCAGCCATCATAATTCATCTTAGGTTTGATAGATCCCACCCCAAGTACTAAATTCACGTTTTCTCTTTACTCTTCCCAGGACAAGTAAAACAAACTGTGCGACAAACAGTCTTTTTGAATTTCAGTGTTTTACGCACTGCTATTCAGAATCTTGTACAGTTCCTTGCCACGGGATTTAAGAGCTTGCGTTCGGTGGAGATACTGTCGCGTCTCGAATTTCATTCACTTCTTGCAAAGTTTCATCTTCCGACATTCTCTGAACATGCTTGTTTGATGAAGTGAGGACTAAATTGTCAATATTCGTGGATGTGAGTCAGAACAGTTATTTGTCTGTCCGTGTTTTCGAATTGGCTGGTCATCAGTCCGGTATGTACACCGCCTCTCACCCAAAATCAGATGCATTAGGTTGCAGATCACCAAGCAAGCCAAGTGAGAACAAGTGCTATTGAAAATGAATGGATGCAGTTGGAGTGGATTGATTTTTTTTTTGCCACCTGTGAACTGGTGATTTGTGGATGATTCTCGTGCTCTCATGTTAGGCCAATTTCTAGAAGTCAAATTGCCTTACACTGTAGAGGAAGCGACTTTGAAACGAGTGTTTCAACGGAGACAACAACTCCGAACACACCAGAAAGCGAGCAGCATCTTGGTTCCAGTTTAACAAGATTAACGTGATGGAGTGGCCAGCCCAATCCAATCCCTTGGACCTTAATCCAATGGAGGAATTGTTCCTGAGTGCCAAACCAAGAAAATACACACAGGAATTGAAGTAGAATCTAGTCCAATTGTCCAGCACTGGAATCCCAATTTACAGGTACCAGAAGAATGTCAACTCCATGCAATGTAATTCACTTCTCAGAAAAAATTCCAATACAACAGAATATTAATTCGCAGGAAAAATAACATGTAAAAAATGAGGCAGTGAATTGACCCTGTTTATTTGCCATTTCAAGTATATCAGCGCATTGTTACAAAGACTTGTTCATGTGTCCTGTGTGATTTACATTCTGCACAGATGTTCTTTTCTTTTTTTTCTTTCTTTTAAAACTATTTATTTATTTTAGTTTTTTGACCACATCTGCTCCCACATGCCACCTAATCGTTTTGGCGCAGACACGTCCCTCAGGTTGTTTTTTTCTTCTGAAAAACAGCCTGCGGTCAGATACACAATGGATTGACGAAAATACTTTTGCTGGCCTCAGGTTGCGGGGGAACAGATGGTAGAAATAGTGACTTTTTAGTTTTTTGATGCTGAGTGAAAGATGGAGAGAGACAAAAGGACGACAACATTGCGCTCACATTTATAGCTTGTAAATACACATGCACCCACAAAAGGTCATCTAAAAACTCCACTATTGGTGCCAGAAAGAGGATGACGAAACTTCAGATTCACAGATAGGCTGCATAGTTATTGCTTATTACCAATTTGTCCTGTATATGTGCATGTGACCTGTGTGTGTGCGTGTGTCCAGTGCCAGCGCCAACTCCGGCTCCGACTGAACCCCCTTCTACGGAGCCCCCTCCTACCATCCCACCTGCCAAAGAAGGTGAGAGAAAGAAGAGTTTAACACAAGCATACGTGCAGTCTGCACTCTGCTTGCACAATGTTCTGCTGCTGTTGTTGCACTTAAACACGATGGACTTTATTTTCGTGTCCAGCCCAAGTCATGACTTGCTTGCCTGAAAGTCATGATACGCCAACCTTTCCGCATGTGCCATCTATGAAAATAGAGCCCTTAGCTGCTCTGTTGTCCTTACTTTATGGTAATAGTTGTTAAGAAGATAGTTTAGCAGCTGCTGGAGTTCATTACACATGTGAATTATGAATTCAATATTATTTGTCATATTAAGACATAAACTCCCCGAGATGAATGTTATGCAAAAAAAAATAGGAAGGAACAACTTTCTTCTGAGAGGATGTCACCAGAGCTAAAATTCTTTCTGCTCCTTTTGAGGGACCAAAAAAATTCATTTTTGACAGTAGATCAAATATGGTTAAAAAACATACGCACAGATGGATTTTGATTAAAAAGAGTGACCCATGTTCAAGTCCCTTCAACGTGAAAATGAAAATTGAACACGCCAGAGAGGGAAGTCCTCACTGTAAAATTCAGGGACCAAATGCAGGTCTTGCTGCTGTCTTATTGTTGGATACCATTTAAGTGCTGGATGTTTTAAGTTATGCTTTTGACGAGATTTAAATTTTTAAAAAGTCCCTGAACAGGTAATGCAATGCAAAAGACACATGGTAAAAATTTACAAGCTACAATAAGTCATCAAAGTGCAGCCGAAAGTATACTAATTGCAAAAAAAGCCATTTTTAACATCTGCTAAATGCTCCCAAGCACAATTCTGTCCAGTTGTTCTTCTAACCTTTTCCCAAAAATCTGAAAATTGCATTATTATTGTGTGTGTGTGTGTGTGTGTGTGTGTGTGTGTGTGTGTGTGTGTGTGTGTGTGTGTGTGTGTGTGTGTGTGTGTGTAGATACATAGATAGAGAGAGAGAGAGAGAGTTTTGGATTTTTCTATTGTCAAATCACTGACTGAAATGATACGTTCTAAGCTGAAAGTGTTTTTTCTCCCCTGAAATACCCCTGAATGGGGACAAACAAGATTGAAGGGTGAAGAAAAAAGGGAGACAGTTTCAAAGTATAGAACCATCACCCCCATGCCAAATGTTCCCACATTGGTTGGCTTCTTCCTGTCTGATAAGCTCAGCGAACAGCCTGACCCACAACACAAACTCCAGACATGATTCGACATGCCTGCTGAGCCTTCTGTTGTAATTCAAGTCTACATTTCTGACCTTTTTCACACTGATGCCTTGAATCTCGGTGATGGAGGGTAGTGTGTGTGTGTGGGGGGGGGGGGCACAGAAGACAAATACCCAATACTGTGTTTATATTTGGGAAAATACAGGCAGCAAAAACACAACTACAGTATTAGTAATTGGAAATGCAATGCAAATCAAATCAAGTGAGTCAGGTGAGGACAATGGAATATGAAAACAATGACAGAAATAACTTGGGGAAAAAAAGAAGCACGTTCTGGAAACAACAAAAGTGACTTTTTGTCAAGGCATCACAGTTCGAGCATGTAAAACCTGGCAATAGAAAAAAAATCAGCACCTGACCTTTACGTTGACATTTGTGTCAAGCATATTGGAGTTCTGACATTCTGCAAAAATCTAAAATGGCATTTGTTTCCTTACAAATGCAGTGCAATAGATTTTTGTAAGAATTATGTTTTATTATGGTTCCAAATAATTTGACCTTGGCTCAAGCAACCCCCGCAACCCTTGTGAGGATAAAGCGGATCAGAAAAAGGATGAATGGATGGATGGATGGATAATTTGACCTTTGTTTTCTTCATTGTTGGTGTGGAATCAGATTGGACCTGATCATCGAAATATATATATATATATATATATATATATAGAGAGAGAGAGAGAGAGAGAGAGAGAGAATTTATTTATTTATTCTTGGAATTTTGGGGACTATACGTCGCATCAGTCAAAAAATGCATCATGAAAAAGAAAATAACATTTATAAGTCACCCTAAGTATAAACTGCATTTTTTTTTCTAGGCAATTTGTTTTACAAAAAGCACAGTAGAGTAAGAACTCACCCTCAAATATTCCCATTCCCTAATTGTGGGTGTGTTTGGATGCTCTGAGCATGCACTGTTCCACTCCAACCATTCGTCAACTCAGAGTGTGGTTCAAATGTGCCGTTCGGATATTCAGAGTGCCCTGCAGAAAGGAGTGCTGGGGCTCTGTGTGTCAGACAGTACAGATGGAAACATTTCAAGCATGAACCGCTATTACTTTATAACTTAGTGTGCATTCTGAAATTAATTGGAGGGATGCGCACACTGCCGCTCCGGACACACACTCTCTGAGTGATAACGGGGAATCAGAGTGAATTTCTGAATGTACCCCGCCGGTGGAAAAAAGGTGGCGATAATAAAAAAGAAAGTCAACATGGAACGGGGATTTTGGGTGACAGTTTGAGCTCTAATTTTATTCTATACAAGTTGCGCCAAAGCAGGGAATCCAGAAGATATTCAGAAGCACCTTAGTTCTTTTTTTTTTTTTTTTTTTTTAACTTAGGTTGGGGACTTGTGCCAATATAGCATCACTGTCCTGTGAAAAACATGTATGTCCATTTTTGTAAAAAAAAAAAAAAAAAAAAAATGACATTGTCATTTACTTGTGGATGTAATGTCCTTGTCTCCCAATATATTTGTCTGTGTCATGTATGTTTCTGCCTTATGTGCTTGTCTGTGAAGTATGCAAGGAGGCCAAGGCGGACCTGGCATTCCTGGTCGATGGCTCCTGGTCAATTGGAGATGACAACTTCATGAAGATCACAAATTTCTTGTATAATGCCATTGGATCACTGGATCAAATTGGCCCAGATGGCACCCAGGTGAGCTACGTGGCCATGCTCTCACCAACAGCAGATCACGAAATACATCAGAAGAATCCTCATATTTCTTCTTTAGCATTTTGCCTTATGATCTGAATACGAGTCCAACCGCAGTTTTCACCTTCATGAGTATGATTAGGTCTAATGACTGATGTTATAGTAGTCTGTGGTGAAAATCGTGGACAGTGGACTTGTAAGATTATGCAGAGAATGTTTTACCTATTGACATATGCATGCAATGCTAAGAAGACGTATGCTGTACTCTATATGAAGTCGTGTATGCCATATATAATAGGCATTTGCAAACCTAAAAATGGACCGATGATCCACAACCTTCGTAGAAAAAAAATTTGTCAAACACATTTGTAAAATGGTGTATTTTTCGGTTGTGTGGGAAGGCTGAGAGACTGAATGAAAAATTATGGAAGGATTTGGAATAATATCGAATGACGTGCAATGGTACTGAGTAACATGGAACCTATCGGCTGGAATGAGCTGAACAGTTCAAAGTTGGAATGGTTTGGAAGAGTCCAAAAAAAGTGTAGAATGAATAAAAACCGAAGAGATTGTAATAAGCCAAAATCAGGATACAACATTAAAATTTTGTAACAAATATTACAGAACTCTTAATAATGTAAATACTTGGTGGGCCGGGTTAAGGAATCTTGTGGGCCATACTGTACGTTGCTCTGGGCCATACTTTGCAGGCCCATTGATTTTCACTCATGAGATCCTGCCGCCCAAAGTACGTGTTAAGGTTGACAAAACGTGCAGCAATAGTCTTTCTTGCCTCGTGCACAACGTATTGACTGACAGTAAACTTCACGTAAATGGAAGTGCACTACGTTTCCTCGGGAGCTTCCAATTGTGAGATGAATGAAGGCTTGCTGCATCTTAAGAATAAATCAGCCGCTTTACAGTATTGCCGTGCTCACCTTTGAATTCTTACTTTTCCACATCCGTTCCCCATTGTCATAAGCTATTTTATACTCTAGAAGTGCTCACATTGCGTACTTTTTTTTGAATAATACACATTTGTTTTGGTGATTTCATAAAATATGGCAACTAACCAATTGCTCCTAGAAACAGTTTTCTTCTCTTTGTGTCATTGCCATTTTTGAAACAAGGGGCATGAAGTCTGTTATCTTAAAAGTACCAAATTAAAAAAATCTTAAATTACATTTTGCCCCAATTTTTTGTCTTTTAAAAACAAATTTAAATCCTAACTATGTTGAATGTTGAGGACATCAGATTTAGAATGAGGGAATATTTGGTTAAAAAAAAAAAACATTGACCACATCTTAAATTCCTGTCACAAACAAGAACAGCAACTTTGACACCTTATTTGTTTTGAAACGGAGTTGGTATCAGTTTTCTGATGTGAAATTAGCAGCAGAACAGCCTAAATTCACAAAATTGGAAGAACAATGGGCATTTACCATGAATGAACGCTGCACCCCAAGAGAGCCTGTTTGTGTTGTTTGCGAAAAGCGTTGAATCATCTCTGCTTATTTGTTGCCACTTTGTTTTGTCCCTGAGAAGTGCACTTTCTGGAAAGTTCATTCCAAATGCATTACTCTTTACGACAAATATCAAGTGGTTCCAGCACCAGTGCCTCGAGGCTAGAAGGCTACTGGAAAAAACAGTTATCTTGATCCTTAGCATAAAATCTACTAGGAGGAATACTTAGAATCACGTTGCCTGACTGAATGCTACAATCTCCGCAAGCTCAGAGTGTTTCTCTGATATCAGGTTCATCAATAATGCCTAGAAAATGAGTATATTCTCATCAGATTACAAATTTTCCCCTTATTGATTTCTGACCTTATTTGCCAAAGATGACGACTCACAAATAGTATGACTATACTTAAATAGTGTTCATTAAAGTGTTTATTGTTAGATTTTTTGGGGGGGGGGTCAATAAATTTCATTTAACAACACATTTTTGTTGACCCAAAAAAATAATGTGTAAAGGTTACAGTTTTATGTAAAATAAGTGATTAAATTCCCAGTTAATGCTCTATTATCCCCCCCCCCCCCCCCCCCCCCCACCACCCCACCCTACACAATATGTCGCCGGTGCTCAGCCGCTTCATTTGTCACTCTGTGGAGGTGCTTGGGGAACCTTTTCCTTTCATTTGCACAGTACACTATGTGCCGTTAAGCACTTTGCTACCCTCATCGCGCCCTGTAACCCCGTGGCGGTGGGCTCGCGACAGCAAAACATTGGCTGTAATGCGAGAAAGTTGGCCGTGATCTCAAGTGAAAGTTGGCTCCTTTATGTCGGCCGCCTTGAGCCAACAACAGCACCATTAGAAGTCTGGAGGTAATTGTAGTCTCTTTGTGGGTAAGTCGTTTTAGATTTTGCAAATGACTTTGATTTTGGGAGTGTGTAACTATTTCAATTTATGTTCTATATAGTTCCCTGTGTAAAGTCCACCAGCTTAGTTCAGCAATTTTTTTTTTCTCTCACTTAAACAGCATTCGCACACTTTGTCAGTTTCAAATACACAGAAGAAAATGAAATGTTCTCGCTTTGTTGGGTCAGCATTGGCAGAGTTTTAAATAAATGAAGCTATTCTGGGTGATAACGACAGACGACTATTTTAGGAGACAAATCACAAGCTCTTGGGTTCAGAGCACTTGCCAAATCAGCAACTTTGACATAATTGCGCTCTTTTAGTCAAATATGTAGATTAAAAAAAAAAAAAAGAAAAAAAAACACCTTTTTTTTCAAAATGGTGATTAAAAGAGGTGTTGCAGGACTACTTGGTGTGCAGATCGACGGGGCGGTTGCCTCTTTCAGCGTACAGTTTTGGTGGGTCTAAGGCGACAGAAAAGAAGTTCGGAAGTAGTAAAAAAATTATTTTAATTTGAGTGTTGCAAAAGTATTTGTGCTACAGTACAGGTGTACAGACTAGTGAGCGCAAATAACAGAATCATCTTGGGCAATGGGAACTCGCAATCACACCAATGATAATCCTATTTTATTTGTTAATTTTTATTTTTTAAATTTTTTTAACAGTAACACTGAATTGATAGTTTGATTATTTTATGTAGTGTAGTTGGTGCTCTTCTAATTTGAGTCCATTTCTGTGTCCAGGTGGCCATTTGTCAGTTCAGTGACGATGCTCGGACCGAGGTCCAGTTGAGTTCCCATGCTAACAAAGAAGCATTGCTGGAAACGATTCAGAGGATCAAATACAAGGGAGGCAATACAAAGACAGGTCAGTACATTTTACAAGAAACTTGGTGTTGATTCACAGGGGGACTTTTCAGCTAAGACAAGAGACATTTTGCTTTCGAACAACAGTCTGCATTGCCGACCCGAAGTCCACCGACAGCCGTTGTGGAGCTTTGATTGGTACCACGGGATGCTGAGCAGCAGATGGACTTTCCCCATGTGTAGTATTAGGTGAAATAGTCATATCCAAGGGCAAGAACCGACCGTCGCTCCCAACTTTTAAGCTAACATTACTTTGCTCGGGAAAAAAAAAAAAAATCTCAAACGGACATCTGCTGCTACACTATAATCAAAACACCAGAAGAGCATTAATGGGCCTCTTTAACAGATTGTGTTCTCAACTAGTTGAAATTCAACAATAAACTGTTTTCCTCCTATTGCACTCCATCCATTTTTACAAACAATATTTGTACAATCGTGAGTAGGAATTACAGTTTCCTTTCCATTGGCCTCATTTTGCATTTTTTTTTTTTTTTTGGTTAAAACGCTCACACGCCATACCCGGGAGATTGACTCCGAGGGTCTGAATACTGAACAAGTCGAGTGGTTTCTGAATCTGTTGTAATATTCATGTGAGAGTGTCCAGCTGTGCTCGTGAGCACAAGGTGAATGTCGGTAACACTGATGCCTTAATGAGACTTTACAGGGAATGTCGGCTTTTGAGAGCATTTTAAGTCCGGGTTTAGATCAGTGACTGTTCAGAGAAACGTGTCCTTGTGCTTTTCTGTCTGCTTCAGGGCTTCATCTTTTCTATACTCTTGTGCTTTCCATCGCCATCTCATCCCGCGCCCCCTTTTTCTACCCTCGTGTACAACACCCTGCAGTTCACTCCTCCCTGCCTCCATTCACGTTGTTTACTCTCTTTGATTTTTACTCCCACCACCTTTTGTATTTGCGGTGCTGTCATTTTTAACCCCTATCGCAAGGTGTCCATCAATCACTACAATTTATGACCGCTTTGTTGTTCCCATTATCAAGAGTACTAAAATACCGTAACCTACATGGTGAGATAATATCGAATACATTGAATAAAACGCTGGTTCTCAAACTTTTGACACCAGGTACCACACGAGGCTCTCCAAATACCTCAAAATGGCCAACATGTACAGTAGGTAGGTGCGAGTGTTCATCAAGGCCGTGGGAGAGGTATTACTTCTAAAGACTATGTTTAATATTTTAAGCCACCGCAGCAGTATGCTCAGTTTCATCATTAATATTGCACTTAAATGTCTTCGAGTCAATTTGCACCGCGCTTAATCGCAAAAAAAGTCTTCAAGGGTTTCCCAGGCAAACAGGAAAGAACCTTGAGAGGGGGCTCAGAGATGAAGGGATCCTCCTTCCAGGATAACCAGGTTGCAATGGATGCCGAGTGGGCAACTTTTACCACATAGTATGTGTGGTGCTGTACAATGTTAGTTTAAACAATGTGAGGGTTCTAAGTTCATGAAATGAAGTGCTGCAGGAAAGGCGCCTTCGATGAAGTGCTTGTACCTCAGGACCTATCCCGCTCAGTTGATGTGGAACCCTCCACAGCAATGCCTCCGGGGAAGTTGTCACTTCAGATCTTGTCCTTGTCAGTCCGTGCAGAATCCTGACAGCACCAGCCTCACTTCAATCATTGCCACCTAACCCCTTCTCCAAGCAAGGGTGGGGGAGCAGCAGGAAAACAGGCCAAACTTCAGATGTCAGGGTTCACCCGCAAGTGGCAATTTGGATACTAGGGTTGGTTGATTTCAATGCTAGAGTGTTAAAATAAGTCTACTGAGGTAGTAACTCTAATTTCCACAGGTAGGGTACGGTGACATTTTGAGAGATGTCACGCTTGATGCTCGTACTTTCAGGGTGTCGTTGGGTAAATAAAACTGTTCCTACATTAATGGGATGGATTCCAGTGGTCCCCTCAAGTAATTTCCCTCAGTCTGGACACTACCTGGCTGCTCCTAGCAAGGAGAATATGATTTTTTTTGTCTTAATATAAAAGTTGGATCTCACAAAGAAAATAGAACTATGTACAATTACCGGTAGTTTCCTCAAATATGCGTTCTTCCTTTGTCCATGTTCCACTCTTTCAATCATAAAAAGTGCCGAGTATGTCTATTCTTGCTTATAAACTGGCAAGCAAACAAACAAACAATCAAGCTCCTTGGCAGAGGTAAAAATATCCTTCTGCACGAGAGAATAAAGGTTTGAGAGGCGGCGAGGCTTTGCCGGCTAAAACAGGAAGAGATTATTTTCAGTATTTTTATCTTTCACATCCCCGCTGATGGTGAGACAACCGCTTTCATGAAAGAAGCCCAATCTACACTGACAGGGTTGACTAAACATGCACACAGTAGTTGATTAGTAGTAGTAGTTATTTGAGCTGCTGAACCACAATTCCCTGGCATAGTTATATATTAAAAACATCTGATGGATAATAACTTCCTGTCGGCTTCTTTCTCTTATATGTTTTTTCTTGACCAACTCTTTGCATTTACCAAGGTTCCATCTCCGAGTTCCTGGGCCTCCCGTCCCCTCTGCTATGCTCCTTGTATCACTTCACGCCTGGCTAGCTTCTGTAATTCCACTCTGGCACTGTGTGATCCCTGGACAGTGTCGAAACATGTATCACTGGCAGATATCTGACAAATCTCCTCTTTATAGGCCAACCATCCTATCATTTGTCATTTTTTGACAGATCTCAGAAAAAAAGGGGTGTAGATGTGATCCAATATGTGTGTGTCGATACGCCAGTCATTCAAGTCATGGTAATCCGCAAAAGTTGAACACCCTCTTCTTGGTTGTTGAAGACGTTTCACCTTTAATCTCCTATTTACGTCCCTGGCGGGTGCTGACGTGGAGGTTGTTGTTTTGTTTTTGCCAGGTGTGGCAGGTGAATAACCCTCTGGCATAATCATTTAACTCCGTGGTGGCATAAAACCCTTGGAGGAGAGATGTCAGGACATACAGCAGTAGTAACCTTAAGACGAGCATAGTCCTCCTTCTAGGTTGGGAGAGGGTCTTTCTAGTTTGACAGTGATGGATTTTGTCACAGCTCCCACAAGCCAGCTGTCCCAAATTTTGACATTGTGATTAAAGAGATGCCCCTTCTTTTGAGATGCAAATGAACAACTGACTCTGGACCTGAAGAGTTGGCGTTCTACATTGTGCCATTTGTTTGTGCTGGGCCTGCTGTGTTTGTGAAGGTCATGGCACACCTCTCAATACTACGTTGCACGGTACTACTTTGCCCATAGAGAACAAAGTAGCTTTTGTCTCAGGGTGTTTCTGGGTTTGATATGCATCAGTATGTCATGTTTGGGCAAAATCTCTTCTTTCTCTCCCAAACTAACTTGGCGAGGGATCGCCGCATTTCGATTAGTGGATCAAGTCTCATATCCCTTATTCTCATGATAAAAGACCCACTTCGGATGCCCACGGGTAGCTTCAGCATCCCTGTTGTGCATCTGTCTCCTTCTAACTGTTGTAGAGATCTACTCTTCTCTGTCTTTGAGTGTTGGACAACCCCATAACAAGTTCAAGTGGCTGTTTGGAGCCAAAGAGGAGGTACTGGTCTGTGGGTAGTTTTCTGTAGACCTCAATTCTGAGGTTCCGTCCTCTTATGCCTCTCATGTTACTGTCCATAAAATAATATGTTCAATGAAAAGTTCAATTTAGCGGGTTACAATTTTAATCCAAGTGTTATCCACATACCTGAAGCAGAAGTTGGCTTTGTTCCTCTCATGGAGTCCTTTGCTTTTCTTTTCACTTCTTCCATGAATGTGGGAGACTGCTGAAATCATAGCACAGTCCTATTTTTGCTCAGAGAAACATCCAGTACATTGAAAGTAAAGTTCAAATAAATTGCATACCTGGTGTGGAATGAGTTTGGATCTATCCTGTAGCCTGGTCTTATTGTAGTTCTTCCCTGATCACATCAACTGCCACAGTGGTGGGCAATTGTAAAGTAGGAGATGATGTTGAATGAAGCCAAAGTCTCGAGTTAGTTGCTGAAGTCCGTGGAGTTGTGAATAAAGTGTAATTGACCAAAAATGGTGTTAGAATAGTTGTTATAGATATTTGTATGAAGTTGTAGGTGGGGGAGATGGTGCTGCTGAAGATGGCTTGAGAGGATCATAAACCTCGTAAATCTGATGTAATCCAATCAGAGGTCAATTCCTTCCCCTTTCCTAGCTTCTGGAGATATTTCATATCTTCTTGTATCCACTCATAGGTTGCCAACAATGCCTCTCATCTGTGTTGACATTTTCCAGTAGAGCAGTCAGCTTTGCCTTTTATATCTCCTCCTGAGCTGATAGCTCTACATCCTGAATAATACTGGAGATTGTTGTCACTTGGAGAATGCAGGCACTAAGTGCCAGAGTGTCCTAAAGCTCATGTTGCTCATGTTGGTTTCAGCAATTTTGGTGACTGGATTTGGTTTTCTTTATGATGCCACTACCATGCCCAATTTTCTCCACAGGAGGAAGTCTTTTTCCAAGGTACATCTGATGACATTGAAATTCTTCTTCTCCTGACTAGAACTTTCAATACTGAGACCCTTCTGAGACTGAGCCTTTGGAACCTCTCGGTGGAGAGTGGCTTTTGCTGTTAGATGCAACAAAGGAAAGGTCAAATTCCTGAAATCTGAATTGAAATCTGTCATACACTTGGCTTTTAGAGGACGTATACACACCAACCACAAGACAATTATTTTCGTCACTCGTTCCCTTCAAAGATTCCACTTTGTTTTTCACTTATCTTGTGCATGTTATAGGTCACATTAAAGGCAGAAGTGGTTCTGAAAAAAAAAAAACCAACTTACAAGAAAAGTTTCAACAATATAATTGCATCTTTGTCACATGTACATCGTTTAGATTCAATGTGTGCTCATTTTGCGCTCCACGGCTAGTATCCAAAAATGAAATGACAGCTGGTAGATTTTAATTAGTCTCAATGCTCTTGCTTATATTAACCAGGTGAGTGCTTGTGATGGAAATGCAGAGAAAAGGCAGGATCTACAAGGAAGGATCATCACCTTGAAGGAGCGCTTCCGCTCCACACTCACACAGCTGTCAAGTTGACTTTGGAAACTTTGGCGGTGGCGATATATGTGAATGTGGCTGATGTTTTCCATCCTCCAACATGCTCTGAGGAGGAAAGTTTAGCAGCAAAAATCCTCCTCATAAATACATTTTCACATAACAATGTCTGCAAGTGCCAGTGCAAGCTTTATGTGTCACTCAAACCCTTGTAGCAAGGTATCGAGACTATACATTTCACAAATAAGTCGAACATTTGGACAAGTTATGCTATACTGTATTACTTTTTTTTGCAATTAAAATATTGCAACATCTTTGATTGGCTCCAGGATGTATGGTGAAATATTGCATTTTACACAATCTGTTATCTTACATTTGTGACATTCAGATTTACAACTTCAAGCCTTTTCATGCAACCATAAAACCTGAACCAAATTATATAGCTTTACATTTGGAAAAGTACATTTACGTGAGTGTAACCTAAATATTTTTTGGGGTATCATTATAGTAATTGCACATTATTAACATCTGCTCATTATTATGTGTGTGTGTGTGTGGGGGGGGGGTAATTTGTGAAAAAATAACTCGAATATCTTTCACTTTTTATGATTATGTTCCTTCTAGAGAGAGGTGTGAGATTGTACTTTATTTGGTGACAAAATGCACTTCCTTGTTTTATGGACTGTATGAACGCACCACTTCTGCATTCTATGTCTGAAGGCACCAAAACGTCTGGGGCGGGTTAGACTCTATAGTACTGTTGATGTAATGTCACCCAGTCATAAGTCCACATAACAATTCTAGGAGTTTTAGTGTGAACAAACGGTGCCCTTGTGTGGTTGACGGCTGCATTATTACATCAGCGAGAAGAAAATGCAGAGAGCAGACTTTGGTGCTCTCTGGACCTAGAAATTTATACCTGCAAATGTTAGCAAACCATTGCTTCCGCTCCTCATCAAAGCGGAGTTAAACTGCAGAGTTACTGCAGGAGTAGCTCAATGTACTGTCTCTCTCCTCTTCTTCGTAGTCTTGACGAATACACGTAACCACACAAATGCAAAGAATCATAGAAAAAGACCCCAAAACATTGACAATTGATCAAAATTCTCTGAAGTAAAACCGTTTCAAAACACCGGCACCCGGCAGTCCCGGAAAGGGAGATGCCTTATGAGATTTTACCAGAAAAACGTCACACCACTGCGTGTGTGTAGTCCATCAAGGGGTACATTTCAGCTAATATTAAAAGACAAGTTGGTCTTTTAAGCTGTTGGAGCCTGAAAAAAAAAGGAAATCATAACTGTGGAGTTGACTCCATTGCCCTTTCACTATTAATGATCGAGACAAGAAGGACGAGAAAGCAAAATGTTAATTGACAGGAGCACTTCTGAGAATAGATGATGGCGATCGTCCATGCCATCGTAAAAAGGTTAAGTGGAGCATCACAAACTATAAATACTTATCTGAATGGGTACGTGAGAATCTCCAACATGTTGTGTGGTGATAATGAACTGATCAATCAGCACTATAAGGACAGTTTAATGATCTGTTTTTCTTTCCATTAAGGATACTAGTTTGACATTGAAGGACAATAAGCATGAGGCCATATGTGTTACAGATGTATGTATTCACAATGGCTCTTTTCAAAGTTTAGTCAGGACAAGAGTTGTTCAGTAACAAAAACAAAATCAAATATTTATAGGCTCAAATCCCACATGATGGAGAAAATGCCTTTAAGCATCATCTCATGAATAAAGTTTTTATGTTTTGTCTTATGGGAGGGTCTCTAAACTATCAAAGATGCCTGTATGCATTTTATTGACTGATTAAATCCATTAAAGTTGGCTGTGACTCAACTTTTAAAAGTTCTTCAACTTTTAAGCTTTGTGACATTTTTGTCATCTGGTTATTCTTATCTGGAAACATTAGGAGCTCATTTAAATTCACTTATTGGAAATGCTAATGGACACGATGCCCTTAGCTTAGCTGCCAGCAGAGTTTGGCAGGTCTCTCATTGACATGCATATGTTTTTTTTTAGCCTTCATACCATATTTTATTTGAGCGGACAGAATGAAGAAAGAGAGTGTTTTTTTTTTTTTTTTTTTAAACTTATGACTATATTAAAATGCCAGGGCGATAGAAGAAAGGACAGACATTTTGCTTCATTGTAGAACCCCTAATGTTCTACAATATCGTATACTGGATAATTATTAACAGTTACTGTACCTGCTGATGAGCAAAATGGGCGCTCCCTTGCTACTCATGCAAGGCTGGCAAATGAAGATGGATGAAGATGCTTCAATGGACATTTTTGCTATTGTGATGATTATTCTCAATTCAGATTGGTTTCTTTCATCAGGTCGAGCCATTAAGCATGTGAAGGAGTCCATTTTCACCTCTGATGCGGGAGCCAGGAGGGGGGTACCCAAAGTCCTGGTTGTCCTCACTGATGGCCGTTCACAGGATGATGTCAATAAAGTATCCAAGGAGATGCAGATGGACGGTTTGTAATCTGTTCCACATACAAAAAAATTAAAAATAAACAAAAGATAACCAGGGGTAGTGTGTCGGCCTCACAGTGCAGAGGTGCAGGGTTCGATATCGGCTCCGGCCTTCCTGTGTGGTGTTTGCATGTTCTCCCCATGCCTGCATGGGTGTTCTCCGGGTACTCCGGTTTCCTCCCACATTCCAAAAACATGCATGACAGGCTGATTGAACACCCTAAGTTGTCCCTAGGTCTGAGTGTGAGCGTGGATGGTTGTTCGTCTCTGTGTGGCCTGCGATTGGCTGGCAACCAGTTCAGGGTGTCCCCCGTCTACTGCTCGAAGACAGCTGGGATCAGCTCCAGCACCTCCCCGCATCCCTTGTGCGGATAAACAAATCAGAAAATGAATGGATGGATAACCACAGGTGGGAATACACTAGCATTGCAATATTTTTCTCACGGTAACACTCATGATACAGCAATAATGCGATAATTGAAACATGAAGATATCTATGTCATGAGAGCAGATTAAACATACAAATATCAATATGCCCTTTGCTCAGTCCAAGTCAACACAAACAATATTTAAAGGGCTGATTTACCAGAAGAAATCTGCCAACTAGTGATACTGTGCACTCATAGATTTTATCCTATGACAAAATGTAATTGTGTTTGCTTGTTTCTCTTACGTTATGAGCTGCTGATGGGGGAGGCTTGTGTATATATTTTGTGTAGTTCCAACACCTCAGAATCCAAATAATATGGACAATTGTTGCGATATGCAGTTTTATTGACATTTAATTCACGTTTCAAGTTTTTACTATCCACAAGCAGAATCGTCAACCTGGTGAGAACGCCGTTAACGTCCTATTTATTGAATGTCGATCTCATTTTATTGCATCCCCCAGGATACATCATTTTTGCCATTGGCTTTGCGGATGCAGATTATGGGGAACTAGTCAACATTGCCAGTAAGCCTAGTGACAGACATGTCTTCTTCGTGGATGATTTGGATTCTGTGAAGAAAATCGAAGAGCAGCTCATTACTTTTGTCTGCGAGGCAGCCACTGCCAGTGAGTAACCCCACATTGACAACATGACACACGCAAGTATACGGATCGAACTAACTCACACGTTTGTAACATCCAGCTTGTCCGTCTATTCTGATGAGTGGAAACAGCATGGCAGGTAAGGAGTGAAATTGACAGGGAATGCCACCTAACATCACCTTAGCCACGGGGCAGGACGGGGTGACGAGGACTTGTCTCCTGCAGGTTTTCGAATGATGGAGAAGTTTGGTTTGGTGGAGAAGGAATACAGCACCATATCTGGAGTGTCTCTGGAACCAGGATCATTCAACAGCTTCCCATGTTATAGGCTACACCGCGACGCTCTGGTGTCACAGCCCACCAAGTGAGTGAGGATGGGTCAGCTCAGGGGAAAGAAATTTGAAAATGTTGCAGACATGGGTACGTTGTAATGAGGTTCGACTGTTTTTACTTAAAACTAAATGCACTTAAAATGGAGCGAGAACCTTCAATTGTCATCCAACGTGCGGCTGTAAATGCTATTTTGTCTGTGGTGGTGTCGGGGCTTTTTGTCAGCCAGCTTTAAATTTAGCCTCCGTAACTAGGAGCGTTCAATTTTTCAAACGTGACATTGACAAGAGTGCTGAAAAGCAGAAGCTGAAATCTTTTGAACTTCGAGTGCTCAGAGGCAGCTCCCCCCCTCCCCCCAAATTTTTGATTCTCTGATGAAAAAAGATGGCACTCTGAGACAGTTTGAGGCAGCCAAACGCTCCGTAAAAGCTCTCAGCCAAGCAGCAAAGAGACTTGGAAAAGACACCTCGTGAGCACATGCCTTTAGGGCACAGTTAACTTATTTTGTGTGTGTGTGTGTGTGTGTGTGTGTGTGTGTGTGTGTGTGTGTGTGTGTGTGTGTGTGTGTGTGTGTGTGTGTGTGTGCGTGTGCGTGTGCATGTGCGTGCATGCGTCTGCCCATTTCCACATGTGTGTACCAGGTACCTTCATCCTGAAGGTTTACCATCTGACTACACCATCTCTATGATGATCCGCCTGCTCCCCGAGACTCCACATGAGCCCTTTGCATTGTGGGAAATCCTCGATAAGGACACCAAGCCATTGGTTGGACTCATCTTGGACAGTGGGTTTATTTTAACTTGTGTTGCTTCTTTATCTTGTCGTTGTCTCAATCTGTGGATTTGTGGTGTCTCCTCCAGTCTCAGCACCTCAAGATGAATCTTTCATGATGCTGCGTTTTTAAAAACTCAGGCTGGAGACATTTGTATGATGAGAACATAGATGTGATGCAACTTATCACTTGACACAGACAATTTGTACTTGGAGTTACATTTTGATCATTTCATGACAAGAGGCACGGTCTGCAAAATGTTTATGTCTGAAGTTTTTTTTTTTTTTTTTTAAATCGTATCTACCCCAAAGCAGTCCTTTCTAAGTGTTAGGCTTCCTTTCCATCGGGACTTCGGGGACGTGCAGCAACTTCCCAAAAATGAAGACAAAGGGTATTTTTAAATTTACTCAGGTATGTTAAGCAAAAAACAAAACAAAAAAAATAATGAATTTCTAGTGCCGACAGCGAGTCATGAGACCGTCTGGGGAGAGTAGAGAACTCTCACTTTGTTAATGAGGATGGATATCAAAGTTATTTACAGACTTTTTTCAGAGAGTAATACAATATGCGGCATTGTACATTTAGTGCAGTTATTTTGGAGTCAGACCCAGTGAGATACCTTCAACTAATGAGGATGGTGGCGATGCGCGTTGGAAGCCAAAATTGCTGTGACTGGGCCGCATCGGACATCACGATACGTACAGGACGTTTGCCCTTGTTGAGAGTGATCCGATTCTTTCATTTAGAGTTTTGTTGCTAAACGGCAGTAATCTGTCCAAGGAAACCAAGGCTGCTTGGTGTCCCCGCGAGGCTGCAGCGTGTGCGCGGCAAATGATTGTCAAGACCCCTCAGTCACATTGGATAAAAGATAATCATTTTAGATAAAAGAAGAAAAGCCAACTACTGTATTAGAATCGGCTCTCAGTATATTGCAGTGCAGTATCACACCACTTATCAATTTCTACACTATTCCCCCACAATTCAAACCTTTCCGCAAACTACTTGTGGAGTTTAGCTGTTCCAGCTAAAAAAAAAAAAAGTGTTGTTTTTTTTTTTTTCCTTATAGATGCCACAATGTGGTGTAATTTTTTTTTCTATTAGACAGGGCTATGGCCTAACTAAATGAAGTGCTCACGTCAACATAATTCCTTGGTAACAACATGCCATAAGATAGTGCTCAGCATTTTTTTTTAGCAGAAAAACAGAATTTTCAGCGAACAAGATTGAGGGTAGGTTAACAAAAAAAAAAGTCTATGCAAATGCCGATCACACTGATATGTGGGGTTCACTGTACATCATTAATGAACATATTGTTAATTGAATACCTCTCTGATGGTGGTAATCAAAGCTGAGCAGGTTGTTTTTGCAAAACCCATACATTCAATAGCATGCGCCTCTAAGATTATACATTATATTATCTGTAAAATATGTCATCTTGTTCATCTCTCCTAATCTCACACAGACTCAAGGAAGAGTTTGACATTCTTCACCTACGACTACAAAGGAGACTTTCAGAGTGTCACCTTTGAAGGAACTCAAATAAAAAAATTCTTCCATGGAAGTTTTCACAAGGTTAGAGTTTCTACTTAAAGTAAGATATTGGTGTATTTTTTTCTTATAAGTGTCCATTAAAAAGGGAAATACTTTTGTATCATTCATACAAGCCTTTTGATATTTTGAAGTGTCTCATCATGAGGTCAAGTCGTCGTTTTAACAAGTACTTTTTGGCGAAGTCATTTTTTTTAAACATCTATTCAAATCTGCGGTGATGAGTGACATTTAGACATGAAAAAAGTAGAAACAAGGCTAACAATCTTGCAAAAGAAATGGTGTGGATGGGTTCTTTTTTTTTCTTTCTTTTTTTTTTTTTTTACACCAAAGATATAACCAGCAAAAAGTGATTTTGTACACGCATGTTCAATCACAGTTTTCTCACCCAAATCCATGATGTAAATTGAGAGGATTTAGTCGCCAAATCACAACAGAAATTGTCTTTGGGCACTTTACTCTTGGAGCAGTTCAAAGTTCCCACTCCTCACTTATTCAAAGAGACCCGACAGAACCCTGTATGAAGAACCACTAAGCGACTATATATTGTGCAACTATATATGCAAAGCCACACATGCAGTATGGATGCGAAATTTAATAGGTATCATTAATTTTTAGCTTGTAGTGTAGTGTCCCCTTCACGTTGCCCACCGATTTTTACAATCCAAACGTATTGCCTTGCAACCAGAAAAAAAAAAAAAAGATCAAGGAGCTGCAGTTATTATATTTGCCTTTGGGGGGGCTCTTCATTTAGCGAATATTAGTCTGCATATAATTTATCTTACCATTAATGACCATACAAAAAATAGCTGGGAGGACTATTCGCTTCTTTGTGTTGCGAAAGGGACGTTAATCAGCCTGATAGTTCCTCCAAAATAGAAAATATTGAAAAAGAGCATGTGATTTTCCTACACATAGTTCTGATTGATGAATCTGCCTTAGTTTGTGTTATTTCAGTCTTCCATATTTCAACCTCCATGTAGTCGGTTAGATCATACAGCATGTTAGACCCTAAATTCAACTGCATGCCCACGTTTGTGCAGTGACTTGTTTGAAAGATTAGCATGTGGCTAAATCCATTTTTCACCTTGAGGCAATGTGTGAGGTGGGCGGATTTTGACAGGAGCAAAGAACTACAAGTGAAGTGACATTTTCTTCCCGCCAAGTGAAGCGATTAAAGCCAAGACATGACAGCACTTCACATGCACCTTTTATATTGCTAAACCCAATAACCTTAATCTTAAACCGTCAATTCTCTAAAAGAGGAACATTTCCAATCATTTAACTTATCATTTGACATCACGGCATTATGGATGAAGGCCAGGTGCAAAATAGCCAAGGAGACTATTTTACATAAGGCACATTGAGTTATTGCGCGCTAAAAAGAATTTGTTTTTATCAGAGACCCTTTTGGTGTCAAATTTATTTTGTGTTCGTTCACATTTTATGGGGTGGTGGTTAGCTTAGACCTTAGACATGAAATGCATGCGGGGCTGTGGTCAGTTAATGTTATTAAAATATCCTACAGACAGAACTCCATATTTCGCCTAATGTCCGAAAACCACAGTCAATCATCACCAACATTTATTTATTTCTCTACTTATCCTCACTTCAACCTCTGAAAATATTGGCAAGATTGGGCCAGATAAGATCAGACAAACTCACACCAACCATTCATATTTTAAATATAACACTGTTAAACAAGCATTTGTATTTCCCAGCGCAAAAATGCCTATTGATAAACAAAAATGATTAAAGAGAGAGATAAAGAAAAGGTTGTTTTCCTTTTCGAGATTGCTGCCCCAAGCGGGGTGCTCACAAGCATCTTGGTGGTCGGGCACGACGCCCGATGGCCTGTCTGTGGGGAGGGCTCTGCAGTCACGGTTTGAGTCGTCCTGTGGACCTGTTAAGTTCAAAATTAAACCAAATAATGTTTTTGGAACCTAAAAATGCAGGCTCCGACAAAGTACAAACAAAAATTGCTTGTCACAAGGAGCAAGGAAAAGGCAGAACCAAAAAGGAAATGACAAGAGTCGAATTTACATGAAAAACAAGATCACGAAGACTAACTCACACCAATACTTACAAAACGACTATGAACGAGAGGTCTAGAAAACACTTGAGCATAAACAGTAAGCAAGGTCAATTATCCAACATAGCGTAGGCAATTTATCAGTTCCTTCAATACTGTGCAAGGTTTTGATTGGGAAAAATTAAGGAACGGGTGCGCCTGCTGGAGAGGAACGCCCTTCATTCCAGCTGGAGTTGGAACAAAAACAAAGACAGACATGATGGGAAACTGCACAGCCTGCTTCCCTGTGTGGTGTGCACCAAAAATCGTTTACATTGAATATAGCATTCAGGGATACAAATGAACGCAATACATTCAAATCCACATTGAAAATAAGTATTCACAATAAACGGCACATCAGAATCAACTTTGTAGCGTTTTGCCCTGATTACATTTCTTTTTTTCCACTCTTTGCTGTTTGTTTTGCTGTGTTTGTGCTCTTTCAAGATAAGAATCACCCGATAACTCGGCGTTATGGATTCTTGCTCTCACAGTCCAACAGAGTTAATAAATTTCCCCCATTTCCTCCCAAAATCATACGTGCAATATGACTGATAATGCATCACTCTCAGCAGAAGAAGCAAAAGCAATTTGTCTCATGTCTGGAAAATGATAAGCCAGACCAAAATAAACGAGGTGCTTTATAAACACCAAGTGATGCTGTTGATGTTTGAGACTGTGAATAATCACAAACACAAACCTTTTTATTTATTTCGCTTTTGTTTATTTGATGTTTTACCCTAATTTGCTCTTTTATTTTTCCTATTTAGTCCTTTATTTTCAACCTGCAGTCTTGTTGTTGATCTCTTGGGGATCAACATGACTTACAAGCCTTTGTTGCCACCAAATCCACTTTTTACTCATCCACTCATCACAAATTTAAACAAACTAAAAAATTCCGATTGCATTGCCTCCTTTAATTTATTGTTCACTTTTGTAAGTGTGTAACGTTATGTTCAGCAGTTTTGATAAATGCTCAAATGCATTTAACGCTCGCCTCTGTTTAGCTCCATGTAACCATCAGCAAGACGGCAGTGAAGGTGGTGTTGGACTGCGCCGTTGTGGGAGAAAAAGCCATCACTGCAGCCGGGAACATCACCACGGATGGCGTGGAGGTCCTGGGTCGAATGGTGCAGTCTCGAGGCAGAGGAGACAACTCTGCTTCGGTCAGTGTGGAGTCATGAATGTTCTACCGCCATATTAACATCTGCTGATTATGCCTTTAAGTCTGTCAATCATGAGCATGTTATAGCATCGAGGCCATTGAGGCAGCTGCAAAAGCTTCTGGAGGGTTTCAGACTCCCTCCAGATCAGGAGATGAGCACCCATCCACATCAAGAAGAAATAAGCATATAACTAAAGATTTTGTTGGTTGTTTCATTTCATACTTGAGCAGACCTTCCAGAGATCCATATATTTGTATACAATTAAAAGGTACATTTTCTGTGCTGTCCCCTAAAAAAATGTAATCAAATCATCAGGAACACATTTTTGACAGTGTAAGAAGAACATTTTGAACAAGACAGAGTTAAAAAAAAAAAAAAAGAACATCATGCAGAAAAAAAATACTTTTGAATATTTAAAAATAAACTTCATCAAGCAGTGCAATGCTGCAATGACGTGTGTGTGCATGTAAAAAAGCGGAGATGACGGACAAGTGCATTATTAGCCACGCACCACACATCAATTGTCACAGGAGGAGGAGAAGTGGATTTTTTTTTCCTTTTTTTTTTTCATCCACTTAACAGTAACCCTAAGATGTTCACATCACATCACACGTCTCTAAGGCCACAAAAGCCTTGAACCACACTTTGTTTAACGTGGGGTGTCTTTGCAGTTTCAGCTCCAGATGTTTGATATCATCTGCAGTACGTCGTGGGCAAGCAGGGATAAGTGTTGTGAACTGCCAGCTTTGGTAAGAACACACACACACACACACACACACACACACACACACACACACACACACACACACACACACACACACACGCGCACACGCGCACACACACTTGTCATCCCTGAATGTGCAGTCATTTGGCGGATATCACAGCCTGAGATAATCAGAGCCGTAATTGTGCTTGTGATCAAACTGAGTGATGATAAAACCAGAACGACCAAACAAAGATGATATCCAAATGACTTGGAATCCCTTTGAATGGGGATGGCCACTGGCAAAGCAGTACCGCCGTTTAACCACACCTAATTTCATTTACAAAATCAAATTACAGGCAATGGGCACCAAGAGGATGATGTTTCCATTCCCATTATGTTCTCGTGTACACACACGAGAGAGAGAGAGAGGTATACATTGCAAAATCCCCAACAGAACGAGGGCTTTGAGTAAATTATTATCCATTGCATTGCATTATATGCATGTGGTGTAGGGTTTTTTTCCCCCCAAGTGATTGTAAAAGTACTGTCTCAATAGCAGTAGAAAATTACCAATGCACTTGCTCAACAAATTTTTTTCTTCTTTGTTTGCATATATTCTCATTCATCCAGGCCGTGGTAATCTGCGAAATTTGGCTTGAGACAACTGGACTTTTTCTTTGATACATTTGTTCTTTTCGAATAAAGATCAAAAATAAATTTGGAAATTATTTGGCATACGACTTTCACATGGCTAAATAATAGGAAAATAATGACTGAGATGGGCATTCAATACTGATAAGCATACTGGTTTTTTTTTTTTTTTTTATCATGAAAGATTGATGAGAATGAAGAATTACGTGGACTCCACACATCATCCTAATCTGGTTTTTGGTGCATTCATGTTGCAGCGAGTTGAAGAGGAGTGCCCCTCAATGCCCCATGCCTGCACCTGCTCTCAAGATAGCAAGGGACCCCCAGGACCTACCGGACCTCCTGTGAGTCCTTGTTGCTTGTCTGCTTCAGAATTCAATTTGACTACAAATGTCTTGTTAGTCAACTTGTATTTGTTCATTCTATTTCTCTTTGCCCCTAATTTATAAGTTATATTTTTCCTCAGTGCCTTCATTCTTTGCCAATATAATTAGGAAGTTAGGAACGAAAAGTTTAGTTTGACCCAACACTACGCGTTCTCTGAGGAATCTCCTTTTAATGATTTGGTTTCTGAACGTCGAGGAAGATAAATTGATTTCAATTCAAACATTATACGAATTGATATCACTTTTGAGAAATGTTTCCAGAACATGCGATGGTGTAGGTGTTTTTCAGAGAGAGCAAAGTAACCCATAAACAAACTTCTTGCCATCATTCTCATTTTTCAATGAGTCCGTCGCTGTCTCCCCGCTCAGTCTTTCCATTCACCATATGGCCTGTGTTTTCTGCTCTTTGTTTACGACTCTCTAAACTCTCAATCATTTTGTCTGTCTCCGCCATCGGCACCACCTAGTTTGAGAGAGTAATTAAACGGTGATTCCATTTATCACAGAAGATTAGGATCCACCACACTTTTCATCCCTGTGCAACCAAGTCAGGTCCACTTTCTCATTTGAGGACTCCACATGTCCATTTGCCAGCGTCTTTCTAATTTTCTTTAATTATGTCTCACTTAAGAAGCTTGTATTGCAACCCGACTGCAATTCAGCGACACATAGCCAATATATATGTAAATGCTCAATTTCCAATGTTTCGTTATCCTTAAACCAACAACAGCGCAGCACGCGGCTGTGACACTGTCTTTGTGGCCATCCTATTGTTTGCTTTTCACGTCCTCTTCATCCGAACACCGACTCTCTCTTTTACTTTTTCTGTATGGCTCCTTTTCACAATGTTTGTTTGGCCCCGCAGCTTTGAATAGACGACTTAAATCACATTCTAACTGGGAATGTGGCCGTCAGTGAATGCCATGGTGCCATAAATCTTTTCAGTGTTACAACAGCATACCGGTCGCCGATTCGTTCTGCTCCAATGTGTGTTTGTGTGTTTATCACATACCATACCTTCTTTCAACACAATGCATTGGTCATTTGATAATGAAGAATGTTTATCTGAGATAGTTACGATGTTGGAGTTTGGAAGTGCAAACTAAGTCCGCGAGTAACTAGAGCGCATTACGGTACTTGAACGCTCCCGTTACGTTTATTTCAAATTAGGACACCAAAAATATCAGTTTGATCAGTGTGACGCGCCGCACCATCAAAAATTAAACTGTGGTTAAATTAGGGTGTGATATTCCATGTAAATTCAGTTTGATTTAAACTACATAATAAAAAGAAGAAAAATAACTTTTTTTTTTTTTTTTTTTTTTGTGAAAATTGAAATTTCAGTGAGGGATTCAAATTCAAATTATACAGGTCAGATTCAGTTTTTCAATTCACTTATTCAAGTTTCGCAATTGTAATTCAAATATAAATTATTCAGATTTAGTTACTGGTGCCACATATTTCAGCCCATAACTGGGCTCTATTTGTGTAGGTAGCAGAGGTGCGCTCCAGCGTAAAAAAGTGGTGCATCTTAATGTTTGTGCCACTGCAAACCTAGTTTGGGAGTTTGGCAGACTGTGCTGCGCTATGCTGGGCATTATGCCTGACCAAGGGTGTTTTCTATAAACCACCTCACAATTTGGTGACTGGAAGTAGACTAAACTTTAGACCAGTTAAAAGCTGGTCTAAGTTGTGGCGCAGGTAGTGTTATGCAATTTTGAAGAATTTGATCGAGCTGCAGGCAGTTAGATTCCGCGTTCCGTTGTGTGGTGTACATCATTTCATTCATAAATATGACAACAGCATGCAACAAACCCTTATTCATTGTAGAAATCAATTTGTGACTTGAACACATGTTGATGATTATTATCATTTTTATTCTATTTTAAAAATCACCCCATTTGGCTGCTAAATGGCTATATGGTGGGGGAGGGCTGGTTGTATGGGGTCAGATATGGACACGATCTGGAAGGCGAACCCCAAGGACCCACTTCACAGTGGTGATGTGTTATTGCTCAGGACATTTTTACATCATCAGTCCAAATAAAATTGCATAATGCAGGCTGTCAAATGCATTCCAAAGCAACAGGGGATCAAACAAAGCAGCCAAATTCATTTGTTTTGGAACGTCTTTATCCTGACCAGAACCTTCCAAAAAGCCAAGGTTTAAAAAATGAGCAATTCTTACCTTATTCGTACTGCAGTCGTACTGTTTTCAGATTTTGATAATTCAAGACTCATGAGCAATCCAAAAAAGAATTCATTTTGTTATCCAGAGTCCTTCCAAATCAATCGAGTATTCATGGATTATTTTGTTCAGTAAATAGACACTATTAGTCTGTCAAAGCACATAGAATTAATATGAATCTACAGTTGGAAGGAGTTTTTACAAGAGGAAGTAATTTCTTCCAAGTAGAATAATTTATAGCTTCAGGGACAAGTTGGAACTACAGTCTGCCGAAAGTTTGCTGGACTGAGACTTTCCTTGTGGATACGACTCAATACTAAGAGCATTAAAGTGACATTTTTGCTGAGTTATTGAGGAAGCATAGTTGAAACCGGATCATTGTAGGAATTAATCTTTGCCTTGTGTTTTACATTGACTTTTTTTCACACTTTTGAATCTTTTGGGGTTTTTAACCTCATCAACAAATGCCTTGGCGCAGCTGTCCGTTGTACAAATGCAATGTGGCCTTTCTTAGGGGAATCATGATACTGTATGTTAAGCTGTGGTGTGTTTCAGGGTGGTCCAGGGATACGAGGAACACGAGGAGACAGGGGGGAACCTGGAGTGACGGTGAGTAAAAGTCCAATGTGTTTTCGGTGCCGTGCGAGACGCATTTAATGCTTTGCTTCACCGGACAAACAAATGAAGCTGTTACCATCTTTTTTGTGTGTGCATACGGCGTCCCCCAAAAAAATGACATCATTTGAAAAATGACCATCTGAGTAACTCCACGTCTTAGGATGAATCAAATTAGGTCGGCTTCATGTTGACAAATACAATTTTTATTTTAAAAAATTCTAATATCATTTTCAAATGGATAGATTTAATAACCGGTGTCGCAAAAACACCGATTTCATTTCACCTGCATTATACTGGCATCGAAGAAAAGAGTCGTAGCTCGTGTGCTGTGATAATCTGTCTTCACCCTGACAAAAAAGAACATGTAAAACACTAACCCTAATGACTTCTTATGACCATTTGAGCACCAATTTGTTGAATAGACATCGTATGCTGCATCATTAGGGAATGCAATTTGTAAACTCCTTTTCGCCGAAGGGTTGACTGGTAGCTTATTAAATGTGCTAAAAAATGAAGGAAGTGGCTCGGTGACTTTTTAATGAGTCGAAGACAATACGTGGAGGTACAATGCTAGAGGGGGATGACAAAGCCCTCCCATAAGCAACAACTAAGTGAGGATCAATAAAAACACCCACAACATCTCTCAGCAGTGTTGTCACGTACTTGCTGACTATACATTCTCCATATGTTTGGTCCAAACCTGCTCTCCAAGGATAGAACAGCCCCCATTTACTGCCTGTTGATGTGGTCAAAAGAGGGATGTGAAATGCTCATAAAGAACATCCCCTTTTTTTGTTCTTGAAGCACGGCAATAATTGTCACTTCAGAAAAGACAGAAAGCAGACGTCTCACTTTTAAACGGAATTTAGTTTCTCTCTAGCAAAGATGAGAAGATTGTGTGCATTTGCTTTACAATTAAAAACAGTTCCTGGGTTTGTCAAAATTCCCCCAAATATCAAGAATTATAGCCGGATTTAACCAAACATTTCTTTCAATGTTGAAATTGTTTCATTTTAGAGGTGGATCTTTCTTATGCGCGCGACTAATGGCTAGTCCGGTTTTTGTGAGAAAGGCAACCGGTGGTCTGGATCCTATTCTGCCTCACTCAGCAGCGAGTGTTATTTGGCTTCCTGCTTCTACGAGTGGAAGCAGAGCCCAGAGTGTGAAAAAACAACCAAGTTCACCGAGCTGATAGACAATAAATAACGCATCGCCAAACACGAATCCTCACACACTTCTTCACAGAGCAATCAAGTAAACGCCATATTTCAGGAGCTACAAGAATCTGAATTTAATCCATCAAACACTCATTGCAGCTCTTCTTACCTTGTGGACATGCACTATTTCAACCTAAACCCCACCCCATAAAGCAAGTGGTCATACAGAATTGATTACAATTTCATTCTGGCAGTCAGCGCTTAGCTTTTATTCACACTAACGTCCTCTCTCTGTCGTAAGCCGCGTCTTCCTTAACTGTTTCTCTGTCCTTTAGTGGTTTAATCAAAGTGATAAAGTACAATATACTGTACATGCAGCCTCAAAAGCCTATAGAGGCTCACCATGTAACATTGCATGGTGCCTAGACATCAAACTGCAGAATGTGCGTGTGTGACTTGCCAACTGTTATTTTTCAGCTGATTTGTACGGTGTGCGAAGGACTTTGCTGTCACACACAGCATATCAGTAACATTTACAGCCACATGTGATGGCAAAAATGGCACGTTACTGATCTAAAGGATCCCATAGGTGTCTCATGTGCCTTAATGAACTTTAACAGCTCTTCTATAGGATTATCCACTGTCGTCTCCGCACGTAAAGACATTCAAAATAATTATTACCAAAAAAATAATAATAATAATAATAAAAAAATGTACACAGGTAAGAAACTAACAAGCCTGGGTGTTACCTAACGAGCATGGAAGTTACAAACCCAATGACACTGTTACAATTGGTCCTATATTTTGTATACCGTATTTACACTATGGTGCAGTGGAAATAAGAATCCAGCTGTGGAAAGACTTTGGCTGTTCCGTGCCCCCATCCCCATCGTGGCCATTTAGTCTGACATGAAAAACATGTTTTGGGTAAGGTTCTTCCAACCACTTGTGCTCAGTCAAGCAGGGTGGCCTTTCAGTAAGTCAATGACAAAATATTGCTATTGGACTGAGTGAAAATGCGATGAACGTAAGATGACCCACCCAAGAATCTTTCTCAAAATTCCCACTAAGGCACCAGAGGCGGAATAAAGGACATTTCTTCTTCTTCCATGCAGATAATGTGCGTTATGTGTGAATTTCAGGGTGCGACTGGCACATTCATATGCCGCACACATACTCGCCTGCAAGATCACAATTGCTTCATAGCATTCTAACCCCTGCAGCCTCCGCCAAGGTATTTGAAGAGGTCGACTGTTCTGTTGACTTCATGCCACCACCAGCACGTTCCCATGGACTGGGACTGTGGTGATAAAAATGACAGATTAGATTTGATTTTAGTTTCCCTTGTTCTTCTTTTTATTTATTCAACAATTGTTTATCCAGCCATCATCTGATCCGCTTATCCTCACGATGGTCGCGGGCGTGCTGGAATATCCCAGCTGTCTTCGGGCAACAGGCAGGGGACACCCTGAACTGGTTGCCAGCAAATCGCAAGACACACGAAGACAAACAACCATTCACACTCACATTCACATCAATGGACAATTTTGAGCCGTCAATCAACCATGCATGATTTTGGAATGTGGAAGGAAACCGGAGTACCAAGAGAAAGCCCACACAGGCATGGGGAGAACATGCAAACTCCACGCACGAAGACCGTGGCCAGATTCCAATCTGCAGCACGAGGCTGACGTGCTAGCCAATCTACCGCTGTGCTGCCCCTCAGCCAACAACAAAAAAAAAAAAAAATCAAGTTTGCCCAAATGTGTTTCATATTTTAGCTGCTGAGTAAATGTGAGAGTCATGAAGTATAGCAAACACTCTTGGTTTCTCTCTGTAGGGTCTTCAAGGGCCTGTAGGAGAAGCTGGCTCTGCTGGATTACCGGGACCACCAGGTCCTCAGGGACCCAGTGGCCTCTCTATTCAAGGGCCTCAAGTAAGAGTTGCTTGATGTGCATAGTACTTACCAAAAATGATATGCATGTCCGATATTAGATAAATCCCACATTACATGTTTAAATTGTACTATTGATTCTAAATACATGCGAAATGATACAACGAAAAAAATAGTTTGCAAACTGGGCCGAAAGATCACATTGTGCCTGTGTTTTCAAGCACCTGCCAGCATAAACTGTCAAAGGAGATCCTGCCAGACATTTGTAGGCATGAGTCCAAAACTCACTTGCGTTAAGGGAAAACTTTATGAAGAAAACTGATGTTGGTTTCTTTGGTCCCACATCGATCGCGATGACCGCTATCACTCAAGACAACTGACATGTGGAACACTGTTTGTATTGCAGGGGGCTGCTGGGGAGAAGGGAGAGACGGGAGAGATTGGCCCAGCCGGCCCAATGGTAAGAGTTGCTCTGCATCTTTCGAAAACATCGTGGGCTCTGTTTTGACAGAGAGCGCATCTGCAGTGGGGTGCAAATGCTGGCAAATTCTGGTTTTTGAGCCAGTACAAGGCCAGTTTTGTCAGACTGGTCTCTGCCGAACTGGGCGAGCCGCCGCAGCAATGGCAGAAAGTCGAAAATCTAAACGTACGCCTGCTCATACAACACCTAAGTGCCGGTGCAGGGTAAACTTTTGGCTTGATGAAATTTCAGTCAATTTGATTGGGGCACAAACAGAACAGTCAACGAGCGCCACATACATGTGTGGTATATGTCAAGACGTATTTCATTCATCGATATGAGAGCAGCGGAAATCAAAACCTCTGAATCATTGTAGAAATCAATACATTGAGTCAATTATTATTATGTTTATTATTATATTTTTAAAAATCATTCCACTGGCTGGTCAACGCTCGAGGGTAGGGGACCAAATGAAAACTTAATGGCGCAGATTTTTGGGAGCCGCATGTGCCTGCTTCAGGCGGCCCATTGGTCCAGTGGTTACTATGTCAATCTCACAGTGCAGAGGTACCGGGTTCAATTCCCCCTCCGGCCTCCCTGTGTGGAGTTTGCATGTTCTCCGGGGCCTGTGTGGGTTTTCTCCAGGTACTCCGGTTTCCTCCCACATTCCAAAAACATGCATGGCAGGCTGATTGAACACGCAAACTTGTCGTGAGGTGTGAGCGCGGATGGTTGTTTGTCTCTGTGTGCCCTGCCATTGGCTGGCAACCGGTTCGGAAAATGAATGAATGAATGAATGTGCCTGCTTCACTCATGTCTGCGTTTTGCCATGCCGACACAGTCAGCACCCCACTGTTGTGTCCCATTTAATCGGAGTTGCCCTCTTTCGGCTTCAAAAACCTGTGCTTGTTTGCAAAATTACCAACACGGGGTCCAACCTGCCTCCGCGCAAGGTTTGCTTTGCGCCGTGCAGATTCACGACTGTTAAGAAAATCAAGCCCTAAATCTTATGAACGTAAGAAAAACAGAGTTGTTTCATCGGCTGCCCAACAATCATGTGTTTCATTCCTCACTCCGTTTTGGTCATCAACAAATCAACTGAAACCCAGCTGTGACCGTCTATAAATTTTTCTTCTCTGTGTATTTGCATGTGCGTGCATGCATGATGAATATAAATGAGCCTCCCATGAATTATTAGTGAAGTCCCCGCAGCCTGCAGACAGACGTCAACAAGCCTTGTTGCCATAAAAAAAAAACAAGATTTAATGGCTTCACCGCTTTAAAAAAAAGTGTTCATATACCGGTAGTTCGTACAGTACATGATGTGCTGTGATAGTTCCCTTCAATAAATTCCATTTTATCCATCTTGTGAGAGAGAAAAAAGTGGTGCTGGATGAAATCGACTTTACCATTGAAACTCCCGGATGAGTAGAAATGATTCACACATACAGTAATTATTCAAGTCCTAAAGTTAGTATTATCTGTTACTGTCTTGCCAGAGCAAATTAAATATTAATCTGGGATGGCTTCTGTGAGCACTGTGAGTCCCACATAAGCGGTGCTTATCAACTTTGTTTGACATAAGATTCAGTTTAGAAAGAGCATTTATGGAAAGTGGGCTCCCTAGCTGACACTTACCCAACACTAAACTCAAGAGTGCTGAGTTTGAATCTCAGCTTTGAGTATGTCACGTATGCGTGGTGGTGGTGGACCCCAAAAAGCAGGCAGGAGGGAGGAGCAGGGTGTATTCGAAGAAGTGTATTTAAAACAAAGAAAACTAAATCCAAAACAAAGTCCAAAGTAACAAACAAAAACCATGACTTAAGATAAAACATAACACTGACCAAAACCTGACAAACAAACATGACAGCAAACAAACATGACAGTAGCACAAAGCAACAATGACCCGACACCGAGTGTTCGGGCTGGGAGTCTTTTTAAAACACTAATTACATAATGACCAACAGGTGTGCAGCTGCAGGGAGAGCCCTACAGTGCCACCTGTTGGTCCCACACCGAATCATGACAGTACCCCTCCCTCAAGGGACGGATCCCAGACGTCCCAAAGTTGTCCAAAGGCTTGCCTCGCCAGGGAACAGTAACTAGATGCGACGGCAACCCTTGCCTCGCCGAAGAACATGAACAAGAAGCGACGGTGACCTTCACCTCGCCAGGGAACAGGAACAGCCGCACGTGGGCGTGGACGTGGCATGGCCCGTCGTCGACGTGAATGTGACTCAGCTCGAACAAACACTTGACGAGCCTCGGCTCAACGTGGACGCGGACGGGGCTCGGCCCACCGTAGACGCGGCTTGACGAGACGAAAACAGGACAGCCGCATCACCAGCGCTGCCTGAAGGGGAAAAGGGTGTCGGCCGCAGACGTGCTCCGCCAGGCACATGATGGAATAGGAACCAGTCTTTGTACCTGCGGGGTCCAGGTGGTCGGGTCATTCTGTCACGATGCGAGGTGGTGGTGGACCCAAAAAGCAGGCAAGAGGGAGGAGAAGGGTGTATTTGAAGAAGTGTATTGAAACTCAGAGAAAACGAAATCCAAAACAAACAAAGTCCAAAGTATCAAACAAAAACCATGACTGAAGCTCAAAACTATCAATAACAAAAACATGACCATCTAAACATGACTGACAAACAAACATGACAGCAGCAAAAAGCAACAATGACCCGACAATGATTGCTCGGGCTAGGAGTCCTTTTAAAGCCACTAATTACCTAATGACCAACAGGTGTGCAGCTGCAGGGAGAGCCCTACAGTGCCACCTGTTGGTCCCAAACCGAATCATGACAGAGTACATGGATAACAAATGGTTTCCTGTTGATAATGACCTCATCTAAAGCAACCCACAAGCTGAACAGTGTCCTCATTTTAAGACGCTATTCATTTCCAAAAGCGGTATCATAACCCGAATTTGTATGTTAAGTCAGAAACGGTCCGCGTCTTTCACTAACCTGTGCTACTGCAGTAGTAAAGTCAGAATTACTGTAAATGTTGAATGAAAAACACTTCCAAGCGATAGATGGCCTTCATCATTTTATTAACCTATGTTACCAAAGTTAAAATGTTACCTTGGAATAATGTGATAAAAGAATAGGGAAGTGTATTCATGTGTGTGTGTACGTGTGTGTGTGCTTGCGTGATGGCTACCATTTTTCAAGCGTGAAAGGAAATATAGCACCAATAGAGCAATTTCTCTCTCTCTCTCTTTCTCTCTCTCTCTCTCTCTCTCTCTCTCTCTCTCTCTCTCTCTCTCTCTCTCTCCTCTCTCTCCCTCCTCCCCCGTTTCCTTTTCTCTTTTTCTTTCTTCTCAATCTTCATTCCTTCCTCCATCAGTGGCTGCAGTCAAGACCATGACACCAAAATGTAACCTTGTCATCGGCATCGGCACTTTCTTCCTTTCAGTTTGATAGGAAAGAAAATGCTGCCACAATGAACCGCTAGAAGCTAGAATAATGACATTCATCTTATTTTGGATATGTCATATTTAATCATCTAATGTTTATTTTCAACTTGTGCAGAAGATTTGGATATTTTCCAAGACATGATTTGAGTTATGAACAACATTATTTAACATGAACTTTATTTTTAAATCATTCACACACAAATGTGTTGTTTACATGGAATGTTTACTATGGAAATAAATTGCTTGCTTGATACTGTTAAGCTTTTCGTATGCACAAGAAAATAATTGCAAATCATAATAATCTTTCCACACGGGACAATTTTTTTTTTCTCGTTGAAAAATTAAATAATATTAATACAGTAATAAGCACGGTGCCCAGATTTAATTTGATGGAAAACAGAGTTGTTTCATAGCCCGACAATCACATATTACATTCCGCACTCCATTTTGGTCATGAGCAAATCAACTGAAACCCAACTGTGGTGATTTTTCTTCATCTATGTAGCCATGCTAGCAACACTGACAGACAGAACAATTCAAATTTCTTCCCATAGTCGGTAAAAGGTCCAATTCACCTATTGGTCCACCTGTTGCCATTCGTAAAACAAAATGATAGCTTTGTGTTCAACTAAACAGGCCAACATTTATAATTACATAATTACATTGTGAGTAAATTGAAACAAGATCAGCGTTATTGCGGTGTTCAGGATATTTTGTGATTTTTTTTTTTTTTTTTAAAATAAGGCTCTGTGTGGTAAGAATTTTCTTATGTAAAATATGTGCCGAGACTCAATAAAAGTTAGGAAACTGTTAGATGACAGCGATTTTCGCAATGATGATTGAAATCCTGCTTGTTTGTGTCATTTTTAGGGTGTTCCTGGAAACCAGGGTTCCCCGGGTAGGGATGGTCCCCCTGGAGCCAGGGTAAGACATCTTTTGTTACTAGGACACAGCAGGAAAAGTTTTTCATCATTTCAGACTTTCACGTAAATGAATTTGAAATCAACATTTAGCTTGATCATTTTAAATTAGCAACGTACTTTATGCCCAGATTTAATTTGATGGAAAACAGAGTTGTTTCATAGCCCGACAATCACATATTACATTCCGCACTCCATTTTGGTCATGAGCAAATCAACTGAAACCCAACTGTGGTGATTTTTCTTCATCTATGTAGCCATGCTAGCAACACTGACAGACAGAACAATTCAAATTTCTTCCCATAGTCGGTAAAAGGTCCAATTCACCTATTGGTCCACCTGTTGCCATTCGTAAAACAAAATGATAGCTTTGTGTTCAACTAAACAGGCCAACATTTATAATTACATAATTACATTGTGAGTAAATTGAAACAAGATCAGCGTTATTGCGGTGTTCAGGATATTTTGTGATTTTTTTTTTTTTTTTTAAAATAAGGCTCTGTGTGGTAAGAATTTTCTTATGTAAAATATGTGCCGAGACTCAATAAAAGTTAGGAAACTGTTAGATGACAGCGATTTTCGCAATGATGATTGAAATCCTGCTTGTTTGTGTCATTTTTAGGGTGTTCCTGGAAACCAGGGTTCCCCGGGTAGGGATGGTCCCCCTGGAGCCAGGGTAAGACATCTTTTGTTACTAGGACACAGCAGGAAAAGTTTTTCATCATTTCAGACTTTCACGTAAATGAATTTGAAATCAACATTTAGCTTGATCATTTTAAATTAGCAACGTACTTTATCTTGGTTGGTTATCCCTGCTGTATTTTTGTCCATGTCCCAACAGGGGCTATGAATCTCTATTTTTTGACAGTGGGAGTGATGATTCGCTATTTCTAGAGACCGATGTGTTTACCAGAAGTGTAATTAAATGTTTGCTCACAACACAGCTCTGCCGAGATTGTGCCTCATCACAATATAACGTCATAATGTCACATCAGAGAAGAACATACATTCTGTATTTGTCAAAAATAGCATTTATATGAAAAACTACAACCCAAGATCTTCTACATCATCCTGCAGTCAAAATGCAGCAATGAGATCTAGTGCTAGCCGTGTCAGTCTGAGGTTAGCTTAGCAATTAGGATGGGTTATAGCTTATTTGCCAGTATGAAGGCTATGATTCCGCTCTTAGGAGTGGTGAACACGATCAATCCAATCACCAGGCACACACAAAAATGTCCTTGCTTCCTTGTTACTCCTTTTTGGCTGCTATCGAAAGCTGGCTGTGTTGCATAGCTCTTAATCCCACCGACCGCTATGATATTGTCCCACATGATGTGTGTGAGAGACCACCTGTGCTTGTGCTTCTTGCTGCATAAGTAGTAAAAGGAGCAACTCTGCATGTTTAGCCACTCGAGAGAACCAGCCATGTTGAGTGTTCAGTTAAGTAAAACAGAAATACAAATAAAAATACAAGAATATCTGGACTGTGGTCAATCAGCGGAGGGTCCCATTGAGTGAGTCTTTAGAGTAGAGGTGACCACCCATCCTCGATCAGTAAGTAGGCTGGTTGTGCAACCTCTGATTTTTGGCAGTTGCACTATTGTAAAATTAGGGCACCTGCATTCCCAAATTGGGTGCAACGTCGAGCTCTGCGTGCAGAAACATATTGCTTAGCGAGTTCCATGTGTGTGAAATATTAATATTCAAAGAAGGCTTCATTAATTTTACATGTGGTTTGATTTGTAGTAGTTAATTAATTTTGGGGGTGAAAATGCGTACTAAGAGCTGAAAAATACACCTCTATATTGATAGATTTCACTTTTATGGCAACATTTTCAACACATGGATGTGTCCACGGTCGGTCCAGTGAGACCAAACTGTAATTTACTGCCGGACAATAGGCATTGGACAATGAGGAGGACACAAGCAAAAACAATACCATAAGGCATAGGAAAAAATTTCAAGAGGTCGACCACAAATAACAAACAACTGGCATGATATTCCACAGTTTTTACCCAAAGTGTACAAACACAAGTTTTGTCGAGCCCTCAGTGTTGTGGTAAAATTCTACAGAGAGAACTTTAGTTACATACAACTGAATGTTGGTTGAGGGCAAGTCATCTGTCAAGCTGAAGCTCATGATGGAATTTAAAGTTGAACATTTCATAAATTGGCTACACTGAAGAGTCTTGCTGGTGAGGCCAGTGGTTTCACAATCCCAGTTACACTTGTCCAATACATAGAGAAAGTTTGTAGCCTTTGTATCGATACACAAAGTGGATTTTTCTTGTTGCGTATGAATACTTTTTGGGGGAATTGTGAGATGTGAGTTTAGCCTCTCCAGTGTGTCTTTAGTGGTTTGGTCCGGATGATTGCTAGAACGCTTGACTTCTGGGTGCCTTTCACTCTTAAGACCGTGATTTGTTACTGCGTGAAGAATGTACAAAGTGCTGTTGGAGCGATTGTTTTCATTTGGAGCGATGAATATCCCCTTGATACCGTAGCTGCCTCCTAAAAAGAAACACTGCAGGGAATGTTCCCAGCCATCTTTGTCTTACCAAATAGGCTTCAACATCATAAGCAAGCCAAAACACGTCAGCAGAACTCGGAGGCTAGTTCATTCGAATACCTGGGGGCTTGTATCTTCAGCTGTGTTCAATATTTGAGCAGTTGTATTGCTTTGCGTTGGCTTCACTTCACACATTCTGAAAAAGAGCCCTGTAAGGCGAGAGTCCGTGATGAAAGGGCACCGGGCACCGTTCGGAAAGCAAACCGATCCATTTTTTTTCCCAGTTGGATAATAATTCCAGTTTTCCAAGGTTTCCTAGGCGAATAGCACTGGAATTGTGCAGCTATGTGCCAAAACTGCAGGAACGTTTACCTGCTGCAATGAAAATAAAAATGTTGTACATCTGCAACTCAAAAGTGAAGGTCGGTGAGATGTGTTGTCAATCAACAGATGTGTTGCTTTCAGATCAATCTTGATATTCACAGTAAATAAGAAACTCCAATGTAAGTGTCTATTGTTTCTGCATCGAGCACAGGGCCTACCAGGTAATAATGGACCTCAGGGTCGACAGGGGCCGCCGGGCCCTCTTGTAAGTTTATGCTTCCTTATAATCACCCAGAAAATACATTCTTGCCAGGTACATTTAATAAACGAGCAACACTTTCCATCTTTCAGGGAGCCCCAGGTGCACCTGGAGCTCCAGGACCGATTGGATCAGCAGGTCCTCAAGGGGGGCAAGGACCTTCTGTAAGTTTTATTTTCATTCATCATTTTTAAATTGAATGAAAATAAGTGATTACAATTCATGTGACCATGAATCGCTAGTCATTTCTACACATTTATGCCTTCTTGTAAAAAGTCAAGCAATTTCAAAATGTTAGCCTTCCTCCTACCCAGGAGAATTTTCCAGAACATAGCCTCAGTCCGAATACGATTCCTCACAAACTTCATTTACCTTTTTTTCACGCCCCTCCTTTGAATGACGATTTTACATTTGCACTGAGTGTTTCAATATAGTTATGATTTGTGGGAATACCTGTGATACATTCCTGTTAATTCAAAGTGTGTGTTTGACAAATATTAACCAGTCGCCCTAAATATGTAAGATTATGCTGAGGCGTTTCTTGTGTGGCAAAAAATAAATAACTAAATAAATAATCTAGTTAAATAGACACAATTTTTAAAAAAATGTCACGTAAGCTCTGATAAAAACACTCAAATAAAATGAAATGAGGAGCAGTTAAATGGAAACGGCGCAATCGGGGAGAAGCGACTAGTGAAATGTCAAAGTAATGAGATGGGTGGGCAATTAATCTTGCAAACGGGCCACATGAAAAACTGGAACCTATTTCGACGACTAAACCAACATGCTAACCTCAACTTTGTCTTTATTATTTTCAGTGTATTTTGAAAAAACATATTCTTGATCCAGTAAATTGTTACATGTGTAGCTATGGTGTGTATCATTATAATTAGGAAATACAAAAAAAACAAACAAACAAAAAACAAAAAAATTAAAACACAGCTTTTAAAAAAAATCTTTTCAAAACGCGAACATTAATTTTATGCACCAACCGCCAACTCATCTGAGCCATTCCTAGTCAGGACTCCTAAATATATTGAAAAGTTGTAAATAGACTTACGTACTGTAGAGCTTCATTTTTGACTGCCGCCTCAATTCAAATTCTAATTCAAATTTGAAAATTGAATTGGAATTCAGGTGCCATGTTAGTCAACTGGTTAGCACGTCGGCCTCACAGTGCAGAGGTGCAGGGTTCGAGTCCAGGCCCTGACCTTCCTCTGTGGAGTTTATCTGTTCTCCCTGTGTCTGTGTGGGTTTTCTCCGGGTACTCCGGGTTCCTCTCACATTCTAAAAATATGCATGGTAGGTTAATTGAGCCCTCTACATTGCCTGTGGGTGGGACTGCTTGTTTGTCTATTTGTGCCCTATGATTGGCTGGCAACCAGTTCAGGGTGTAGCCTGACTACTGCTCAAAGTCAGCTGAGATAGGCTCCAACAACACGCCCGCGACACTCGTGAGGAAAAACGGTTTGGAAAAAGAATGGATGGAATTGGAATTCTACAGCTCTTCAGCACACCATGTGTTTCACTCGCTCTTCTCTTGTGTCTTAGATTGCCTGGTTGACTGAGTTCCACTTAAAAAGTCATATTGCACTTTAATAAAGCAATTTGCATCACTGAGAGCCTGTCCTCCACAGTATAATTGTGTACGTCACACAAAGGATAAACAGGCGTTTTATTCAAATGTTGCAATATGCTTAACTTGATTATTCAATCACAGGCAGGTAATATTTATCTTTAATTTGCCTCGGGATTACAATGTGCTGCACACTGATATCCTTTTGTAGCCGGGGTGTGCTTGGCAGCTTTTCCGTGTATATGGCGTGACCAGATATGAGATCCGTGTGCTTTACAGTGTTGCCAGAAAGCCTTCGAAGCCACAATTTTGTGTACACTTTGATGTGCACACAAAGAACCTGCATGGGGGGATTATATTTTTGGGGGGGTTATATTTTCTCAAACTAGACAGTAAATACAACAAAACATCAACTCACTGTTTCTGGTGGTCAGTGTATAGTTGTGACGGGGCTCAGAGGAAAAATGATACTCGGAATATAGTGAGACGTGCCGTCACATCCAAATCCCATCTTTATTCTCCCCATGTGCTTTTATTTTGTAGGGTCCTGCTGGTATCAAAGGAGATAAAGGAGAAAGAGTAAGTCTCCCCATGCCAGTCAATCAATGATAGTTAGAACTAATCCAGTTTTATGAAATGGAAATATTACTTGCTCACACTCACCAATGATGTCTTGATTTGAAGGAATCAATCCCTCTCACCTCTCATTAAAACAGTTTTTTCTTCTCCCTTACATTGCCTGCTCCTCATTTTGAGGAAATTGAATCAAGTCAGTGTCCATGCCGCAGATTTGCAGTCGAGAAGCGTGCGTGTTTTTGACGACAGAGTGATCGGAGAGAGGCACACAGTTTACTACCCTGAATCAAACCTTCACCCGACCAATTTCATCTACTTTTACAGTCATTTGTGTCCTACTGCGTTTCATTTACTGGAAGAGAGAAGGTCTCGGCAGGATTTTTTTTTCCCCCGCTCCTCTATCTGGATTGCAATTTTGCACCTAGTGGGCATCTTCCCAATGATGGAACTCACTTCACAGTGATGGGGTGGTGTGTGATCATTTAACAGGGACAAGTTAAAACATTTATTGGAAATTGTCACATGAAATATTTAGCCACGACCACCCGCATCTGTTGCTGGTTTGTAATAAATGTAGCAGACTGCATTTCACACATTTGCTGGAGGCTTTGCACGTGCCCTGCAGACGTTTTCTGGATATGCAGAAATGTTGAGTAACTTTTCGCAACAAAAGAGAGCACCAAGTTCCTGTTTTGTGCTCGAAATGAAATTCACACCTCAGTGAATTAATCAAGATTTGGATGATAGTCATTAATTGCCACATTAATTCTTCATCAAATCAAGACATTGAGGTCAATTCTATGAAACTCGGGGGAAGAGTTTGGAGAAGGTCTTGTTCTTCTCCTACGTCTTATTATGTAATGCATATTGGATTGATCAGAGGTCCCCAACCACCGGTCCGCGGACCGGTACTGGACCACGGGCCATTTGATACCAGGCCTTAGAGAGAGACATACCTGCAGCCTTTGAGCATATCTACTCACTCAGACGTGGCAGAAATGTTCGTGAATCTAGCTGATCAGAGTTCCCTTTCTAACATTGGTTTGCAAGTTGAAATAAACAGAATTTGCCAATAAATGAAAGAAGCAGTAAACCAAAAGTAATAGTAACAAATTGACCAAACTTACAGCTAAACGTGCAGCTGATGCAAAGCTATCACTTCTGAAGATGACGCTATCTTGACAAGTGAAGTTCCTCCCCTCACGGCGTCTCCAGAAGTACGTTGAGGAGGAAGCCGTTGTGCGTGCTCTGTCGTCAAAAACAAAACGATACAAGAAACCTGTTGAATTATTTGAACAAGTAGCACCCGAGTGATCAAGTGGAAAGCATGAAAAGGCGAACAGTTTGCAAAGCCTGCCCATGTAAACATTAGCAGTTTAGTCGCTAATCACTAGCTGGCAGCCTCTGAATGAACGCAGCAATTAATCGTGTCAGTTTTTGGATCAGTCAAATTTTCAAGTAGCGATGATGCTAACGCAGTATGTAGGATTAGACCATTTCTCAGTAATTCACTGTTATTTTGTTATTCTACATTTGTTGTACAGTAGAATAGCACTGTTTGAAATCAATGAAAAAAAATCTGTTGATAACATTTTTAACCCTCATAAATACATTATTATTTAATGGCATACAAATGTTACAGTACTGATGTAGAATAAAAAATAAATCCACACTATAAAGATAAATTATTTGAACACATAACGTATGTAAAAAATTTGTATCTATAGTCTGTGTATAAATGTGTTTTTCTCCTGTCAGGGTGACGTGCCGTCCCAAGCAGCAGTGCGTACTATCGCAAGACAAGTGTGTGAACAACTCATCCAGAGTGAGTAATCAGCAAAATAAAACCCCAGACCTTTTGTTTGGTATACTTTTACACATGTAATAAGATTCTATGCAATATCAATTTAGCAAATAATTAATTATGACAAATGAATTTACTGTCAGGGAGGTACAGTGGAGCCCCACGATTTGGAGAGGATAGTGACCAAGAAGGCCTGCGAATAGCGAAAACCCCAACAATTCTTGAATAAGCAAGGATTTATGACCATTTGAGCTCCTGTAATCACGTGACTGATCCCCGCGTGCGTTTGTTTTCGCAGCCGTGCTGACAGAATAGCATCTGACGGCAAGCGAGGGATTTACAACGGAAAGCAGTGATTAAAATGAGCGTTTATCCTTCAATATTACATTCAAGCGAGTTCCCTTCTCACTTTGATGAAAAGGAAATCGTGAAACGCATTTGCAAGCTTGACAAGTTGGACAATACAGATCCCTTTCCATTGCCTGGAGTACTTTTTACAATTATCGCGACGGCAGATGGGAGGAATTACTATGGTGAGTCCTTGAGGGCCATGTGTACTAGACTTGCCTGGCTTAATCTTTGAAACAAGCTGTGCTACTGGCAAGATCAACCAAGTTACCTCGGTGCCAGGGCTGGGCTTGCTGGCGACCTCGGAGCCAATGAAGCGGCGGCTCCGTGGCAGGGTGTCCGGATATTATCGCAGGACATCTCGGCATAGCTATTGAGCAGGCGCACCGGATGGGAAAGCTCGCTCACGGCGTGGCCTTCCCGACGGTGGAGAGCGACCCCCGGCCCGAGGAGCTTTTGGTAGCCAATAGAATGCTTTCCCCTTCTTTTGTCCCCTCTTGTCATGGTACCCTGATGTACAACAGCTGTCTACTATTGTCAAAGTGTGGCCTTTTCTCTAGTTAGCGGCAGGTTTTCCACCCTGTCAAAATGTAGTTGTTTTCGTTCGGGGCACAGGGCATTGTGGGATGCGTGGTGTCAACATCCGTAGCTCTGTAAGCATTTTACACCTCTGGAGGAACCACAAACCCTCCTAATGCCTTCTTGCATCATCATCATCGTCATCATCATCAACTCTTCCTGTTTGCAGGCCACATGTCGCGCTACAACTCTATCCTGAACCAGATCCCAGTTCAGTCAACTGCGTCAGTACGTACAGTGCCTGGACCGCCTGGTGAGCCTGGCAGAAGAGGCCCCCCAGGACCTCAGGGAGAGCAAGGACCATCCGGCAGGCCCGGTTTCCCCGGTTCTAACGGGCAGAGTGGACGGCCAGGAGAGCGAGGTAACGGACGAAGCGATTTGAGTGACATGCAGACAAAATAGGAATGGCTCTCGTTGAGAAAGGATGACACTTGTCAAGATGGAGACAGACAGGAATGGAATACCTGTCAAGTTCCAAACAAACATGTCCTCTCGCCAAATTGGTTTCAGCTCATTGTCGGTCCTTCAGGTTCTCTCCTGTTTGTGGTATTATTCTAAATGCATTATTCAATAACCATTCTTTGGATTGATTCTGGGAAATGATCATATTTCACTTAATTGGTCCATAAATTACATTTTTAGCACAAATAATGTGGTTTTGTTCATATATCTGCAAGCAATGTTACAATGACACAAGATCAAATGCTTTGCCATTACAATACGGAAGGTCCAATTAACCTAATCTTAATTTGTTGCCATTCATAAAATAGAATGGACTTTGAATGTCAGATTCCACACTGAATCATAAATATGTGAGTAAACTGAGACAAGAGTGTCATTATTGCAGCATATATGCTTTTGGTGTGGGTTGCCATGAGATTTTACCAATGCAAAATGTGTTTTTGCTCCAAAAGGTTGGGAAAACCTGATCCAGTGGTATATAATAGAAATGAAAAATGTGATCTTCCACATAATGTCCCCAGGTCTTGCAGGGGAGAAGGGGGAGAGGGGGAGTCCAGGTGTTGGGTCTCAAGGACCTAGGGGACCTCCAGGCCCACCAGGTGAGACGAACTGTTCCAGGCAGTGTTTGATTGCTATGGATTTGTTTGTGTCTGTGCCCTTTACTGTCCAAAAATGTTTGCGATATCAACCTGGATTTTAGTATTTTGATAAAGTGATCAGAATCCACACATTCGTATTTTAGGATTTTATAATGGGTATAAATGTATTATTTGAATGTGTGCAAATGGAATGTCACAAGTGTCTTGATTTAATTCCAATGGCATTCGTACAATTTATTTATATTGACAAAAAAATCTAATCTTATTAATTCAGGCTGTAATTTTTTTGTGCCAATGCAGGAATATATTTTGTTTCTGTCAATAGGGGTCTGATGAAAGTTGACCTTCTTTTAGCCATCCAGATCATCCATCTTCACACATTGATTTCATGGGTGACAAAGGCCTTGACAGAGGTCTGCATTCTATTTTCCGATCAGAATAGTCTGAACACTGCTCGATTATTCCCCAGGCATGTCGAATACCAAATGCTTTGAGCTTCTGGAGCTCCTTGTGTTTCTTTGTACAAAACCATATACTGTGTGTTACAGTAGTAGAGTTTAAGGAGCTGAGACTGTTTGTACTTTGCCCTCTGATGAAATCTAGAGGCAGCTTGAGGGAGTGTGTTGCACTGACACAAAGGACAAGAGCTTAATTTCCTTGTAAGCATTGGGATTTGTCCTCCTCAGCATGGTGATAGCCTTGAGTGTGTATATCGCATTCTTGTGATACCTTATAAAGGCTTGTGGAAGACAGCTTTAATTCAAAGATGAACCATGGGGCGTTTGCGTCGTGGTGGGAGTGAGCACAGCCGACTTAGTTACCACACCCCGATTGTTTGTGTCTGTGTGTCATCCTCCTCACCCCACGTAGTTGTGCCGCAGCCCAGGGGGGTGTTTTGATCAATATAATAAAGATGATGATAATGATGATGTGTTCACTGAATTGATTTCTACAATGATTCAGAGGGTTTGATGCACGCTGTTATCATATTTATGAATGAAATACGGTGACTTCCAGCACACATATCAGCAGAGCACAAAATCACGTAACACCATCGGCGCCACAACTTAGACCTGCTCCTAGCTAGTCTACTTTCAGTCACCAAACTGACACGTGCGCAGGGTATGTGTAAAAGGCCCTCAGTTTGCCGCAATACCCAGCATAGCGCTCTGCCAAATTCCCAAACCTAGAAAATGACGATGTGCCAGTTTTTACGCTGAGCGTACGTGCGCTGTCTATGAAAGTAGAACCCACGAGTTCAAATATTGCTTTATCATTGACTGCTGACCAGTGCAAGGTGTACCCTGCCTCTCAGTCTCATCACAAAGATTGCGTGGATGATTTCAGTATGAGGCAACAAACCACAATAATAAACATATTGTTAAATTACACAACTAATACTACTGTCTTAGTGCCAACCAAATCAGTGCAGTAATGGCAGAATTCAGTCACTGTACTGGATCTCATTAAATTGTGAAAGTGTACCGAGTGAAGTGGCCACTTGGTATGCACTGTCTGTAAGAAGAAAGAAGAGTTCAGTTCATGAGATCAAAGGAAACCTTTTCTGTTCTTATTATTGGAAGCTGATGGTACCGACACTGTGCATACAGCAGATAGAACACAAACAGTTGGAGATGACCAATGGGATGCACTGTGTTTTTGTTAACAGCCATGCATTTGTTATTTTACATAATTTATTTGACAAAATCATGATACGGTCATTGTGTTCTATGGTGCTGTGACACAGGACAAAAAGGACTCCTTTAACTTTGTTCAGTAGGCTCCCTCATAAATACTGTATTACAGGGATGTTATTTTGAAGAAATGATGGAGAATGGCTCCAAATGGACCATTTCACATCGCTATATTTATACTGTAGACTTCAACACGCTGAGTCCTGATAGAGTCCATAAAACTGAACCTTCTGGGTAAATGTCTACTTGTTCCCTGCTCTTTTCCTCTGTGGCTTCCTTGAGGCGGAGTCAACATGGCAGGCGGCTACTGAATTCTTTCGCGTCGCTTTGTTGCAGGAGCAGTCCGAGAAAGATGGCCGTTGAATGACATCATCCATTCTGGATACTACATTTTATTTGTCATTATATTTTACTTACTCTCTGTACCTGCTCTGATTCTCTTCTCAGGCTTACCAGGTGAGGGGCGCACAGGTAGTCAGGGGCCCCTCGGTCGGCCTGGGAACCCGGGGGCACCAGGGAGGCCGGGCAATCCAGGTTCTTCCGGACCAGCTGGACCACCGGGTTACTGTGACCAAAACTCTTGTTTGGGGTACAATGTTGGAGGTAAGCACACTAGCACACCAGGAAAGTACTTACAAAAAGAATGAGCATTATGGAAGCACAAGAGTTAAAAAAAAAAAAGCTCAATTATAACATACGAGTACCCACACTGTTTGCTGAAATAGAAAAAAAATGTATTTTATACTTTACCCAAAAGTAGAAGAATTGATTGAGCGCTTTGATTTAACTACAAGATAAAACAAATAAAATAAAAACAAATCATGCTAAATTAACGAATGATAACAACTGAAAAAAGATACCATGCCTGTTTTTTTTTTAACATTAGAATTGGAATTTCCAAATGCCAGAAGCTGAAGATTTTTAGGTTGTCACAACGCACATCAGTCATTCTTACAAGCGGCATTGCCAAGGAAAACACCATGAATTTTTTTGAATAGCTAATTGCTGCTGTTCCTGCTTTTTCCACCCCATGAGTCCGCTAGATCTCCATCAATCAATCAATCAGGATCTCAACCAAGGTTGACTCATGTGTTTTTTTTTTTTTTTTTACACCTAAGAAGAGAATGGCAAGAGGCGTGGGTTTTTTTTTTTACATTGTTACTCTCCACCACTTTATTTAAGTCGACAGAGAAGGTTTTTTGATGTTGATAGGTTTTAGGAAAAAAAAACACTGTGTTCATTTATATTAGCATAACAAACGATCCAGCTTTGTCTTATCTTTTTCATTCTCTCCGAAGTTTTGTGGCTCGTCAACATGCAGTTGTAGAAGTCTCAGTGAAACCTGCGATCTCACACAGTCTCATTGAAAGCCCCGAAAATCGTTTGATTGCAGGAATTGCCTCAAAGGTAGTGTCATCTTTGTTCAGGCCCGTTTGTTTTTTTAAAATAAGACAGCTGAAGCAAGATTCAAAAAACAATGTCTGTTGGTTAATTTTCCTTAATTTTTTAGTTTTCATTATAACTTTTGTCAAATTTTGTAGCCACTGCGGATTTTTCTTTCATCAGCAGAGGCGTCTCAACAATTTTTTTCCACATCTGTAAACTGTTGCATTAACAGTACAGCGCTAACGTGCACAACAACAAATACATTCTTACTTTATTGCAAAAATTCAAACGTCTTCACCCAGCATGGCTGGGGAGTGACCACGTGAGTCATTTTAGCTCCTTTTCGAACAACGGACGTGCATTTTTGGCGAGTCTCATCTCAACAAAAACTCACACTTTGTCGACTTTTGTCACCAAAGAGCCATGTTTAAACCCATGTGCTGCAGTCGATCTAAATAAGTTTATATAACGCAACATACAATTTTACAAAAATTGTAAAAGTATTATTCCTGAACATTTATTTCACTTTCAACCACTCGACATGTTCAGTGGCATCAGTGCTATACATACACATAGAGTTCTTATTTTATTCTTTCTATTTTTGCCCTCTATGGACAATAAAAGCGGTATTGTGCTATGACCAAAACATAAATATAAATCTATATAAATAAAACATGAACTGGAATATTTCATACCACACACTTTTTATGCTGTGTCTTTGATTTAAAGATGACAATACGCAAAAATCTACAAAAATTGTAGAAATTGTAACATATGGGGTAACCCATGTGTTACAAACATCGTAGAAATTGCAGCACAAGGGGTATTACACTCATCGTCATTGGCAAAAACAATCCTGATTGAAATGGCCTCCAATGATGACAAGGCACATTTTGCCATCACACTGCCTCGACCAAAAGATGATACTCTAATCGTGCAGCAATCAGCAGAATGTCCTCCGCGTCTGCTCTTCTTCATACTTTGACCTTGTCATCCAACTCTCTTTAGACTCACTACCGAACATAACACTCCTCAACATGTTCAGGGTCCAGTAAGTGCGTTGCCGACACCAGCACAAAGGGGCCTGATGGTGTCAGGCAGTCACATTCGGCCTCGTGGCAACCCTACGAGACGTGAGATTGGCTGCCCTCACTCTGTTCTTTTCTGGCAGACGTATTGACCGCAAATCTGTTGGAGCAAAGTGCTGACAGCTTATTCTGTCATCGTCTTGGGATGCCCACTCTCTGACATCAACTGTTAGGTGGAACCTGCCCTTCATGGTACGAGGGTTCACTTCAAACAATGCCGCAACATGCCCCTTCGCGCGAGCCCGGTCGAATTTGCCAGGTGCTGCCAATCAGGTGCCCGAACGGGGTAGCAGAAGCACAAAACGCCAATGAAAGGCAACCGCAAAATCTGCTGGTTGGAATCAACAGAGAAAATTTGGCAGATTGTTCACGCGAGCGGTCCACAAACTCAGCAGCTGCTGCTCATCCCACAAAAGCATGGATGGTGCAGATTTGGCACAATTTAATCGGGAAATAAAAAGGCCTTCCATTTATTGTTTTGACAAAGACATCATCAAATAGTACCAACATTGATGTCCTTAATTTATGTGTCTTGGTCGACATTTATTTTGATTATTTTTGTTGATACTTTCTTCAGTGGGTTTTGTGTTTTTGTCAGCTGTAAAATCAAATTATCGAAATAATTAATGCATTTTAATAATATATGAGTTTTACTTTTGAATTGAATTACTGAATTAGTTGTGGACAATTGAGAGGCATCTGTATCTTAGGAATCTAATTGATTCATACCACTCCGATTTTTTTCCCCCGAGATAATCTCATCTCAGCCATAGTCAGAGTTGAAACAAAAACGATTTTCTCAATACAAAATGTCCTCGTGTTTTCATATTTCTAAGCATAATACATTTTGAATGAATGATATTTATTCAGTCAGACAAGCCAAAATGTTCTACCTTTAATAATTCATACAGACATATCAACCTCCTATTTCCACCCAATTTGAGGAGTGGAAGGCAGCTGCTCCATTTTGTAAAAAAAAATTATATTAAAGGCCACAATGTCGACGGGCGGCAGCGCCTTCACACTTTGTTATTGTTCTCATAAAACACTCAGACAATGCACACTAATCTGGCTTTTAGAATTGTCGCGCTGACAAGTTTATGTATTCGACAACTGTCTGAGTGCGTGGTTTGGTAAACAAACCCCAATGCGGATAAAAGGCAGATTTGAATATTGATAGTGATGAAGCGGCTGCGTGTCTGATGGGCCTGCTTCACAGCAAAGCTATCACACCTCTAACAGCTTTTGACACCTGGGTCGTCCTGATCGTCTTCCCGAAAGTTATTCAGTCGCTTCATTTTCGTCATAAAAGCCTCGAATGTTGACGTTCTGAATCGTTTGGGGATCAAATGTGACATCCCTACAAAATAGACTCCGGCATTTGTTTGTTGCTTGTATGTCATATCTCATGTTTTTCTCCATAGTTCTACGTATCTTCAACTAACAACCTTGAAGATTGCGTTTAGACAAATATTATGTAAAGCAATTTCACGTTTACTCGCGCATGGTTGTCAAACTCACTTTTGTCTAGTTACGGATTCCCGCAGAGGGCCATTATAACTCTGAAAAGGATACAAATGTTTCATCTTATATTATATATATAAACAGTATAGACAACGACTGATGGCAAACGAGTTTTACAATCAGACGTCAAGGACAATCGCTCAAGAATTTTTGGTCGACATTTTAGCAAGAATTATTGACGCTGACACACAAGATTAGCTTCCTTGAGTTTGACACCTGTAGCTTAGCATTTATCTTCTTAATAAACTATACTGCACATGTAAGTTATGTAACTGTAGGTTTAGTTTTTTCCATATCATGATCCCATTTCATACCCACAGGCAAGTCAATGTGCTTTCCACAGGTTCGTATTTTTTATGAACGTAAATTGTATCATACGTGTCTGCAAGTCTGAAGACTGCAAATTTCCCCAGTGTGGGTCAAATAAAGTTTATCTTATCTTATCTTATGTGCAATATATCGCTCATTTATACTCAAATATTGACTGCACATGTAAGTAAACCAAATTAAATTAAAAAAAAAAAGTAAAGAAATAGACATTAACCCTTTCAGTGACAGTGGTAACTACAGTAAACAGCTTACCAGGTTATCAGGTTAGAGGTGATTATTTGTGCATGATATTTCGTTCCTCCGGTGTTTTCTCCCAGTTCAACACTAATCGTTTCCACTGTCAGAACTTGAGAACTCTGCAATCTGTGCCAATGCAGTTTGAGAGTTTGAACCATCTGGTGTCTTGGGGTGCCTTTGTGACATGAGGTAACGTCTCTTTTCCTTCTTCCTTCTGCTCCTCTTCCTCCTCCACCACTCAAGTTCAACGGGACTATGGGAATGATTACTGAGGAGCGTTCTCCAGCTGTCCTCCTGTCCTTCCTCTGCGTCCTGTTGATTCAAAGACTTTCTCAAGAACATCCATCCTCCTTTGTGATGGAGAGTTGCAAGCATTTAAAACTTCATTCCTGCAGGAGTGTTTGTTTGTTTGTTTGTTTGTTTGTTTGTTTGTTTGTTTTGTTGACAGAATCGCTTCATATTTGCACATTGTGGATTTTCTAAAAACGAAACAAAAAAAAAGGGGGGGTATTACAAAAAAAAAAAAAATCAAATTCAGCCTTGTTTTGCTCTTCCGGCGCCATATTTTGACAATCTCTGAGGCAACCCTGGATTATAGTTTCCCCAAAACAGACCATAATGCTGCTATTATGTGCACACAATGATTTGGTGCCGCAGCCTCTTCAAATCTCTTTAGCGCTAATCTGGTCTTTCAAGCCCACTAGCAAAGGATGACTTCTTTCTTGCATGTTGGCTGCTTTACACAGTTTGCCGGCTTGAAAAGATGGCAGAACACCCTTGAAGTTGGGCCGAATGTTGTCACTATTTCAACCTCTGCATGCTCCTCACATTGTTCCAAAGCTTCCCTTCTCAAGGTGGTGGCGTGGCAGCAGCATTTTTGTTTTTTATCCACCCACCCCTCAATCCCAGGCAAGAAGGACCATGCGACCCCCTCCGCCAAAACAAACAAAAAAACCCCCCAAAAGCAGAACATTTGATCAGCAAAGATACCTTTTGTATTACATGATTGAGATCAACACTAGACGAAACTGCTGTTGGGGGTGTCATTGCTGTTTGGAAGGGGCCTAAAAGTCCTCCAGGCAGCTCTAACTCTGCTACTTGCGCTCCCTTATGGAGTTGGGTTTTTTTTTTTCCCCCCCAAGTGTGTGCCACAACTGATCGCCAATGTTCCCCTCACCCTCCCACAGTCCAAACATTGCCTCATGGTGGCTACCAACCCTACAACCAACCCTACAACCCTTCTGCAGTAGCTTACAACAACGACCAAGAAGCCCGAAGTGACGAGGAAGGAGAGGAAGAGGAGGGTGAAATGGATCCTTATTATCATAGTTATCCCTATCGCTACGGTTACCCTTCTGACCTCTCGGAAGATGTGGAGCTGCGGTCACCTGGCGTGGTCAGGAGGTTGACCCGCGACGTCTTCGTCATAGAGGAGAATGACAAGGAGGACGCACTCATCCCAAGCGCTTGAATTCTAAACACACACACACACACACACACACACACACACACACACACACACACACACACACACA